CCAAACTTGGTGGACTGGCAGACCCACCGCTGGCACGCGACAAACCACCACGTCCACCACAAGTGCAGCCACAAGTGCATGTTCCAGAATCGGTTCGAATGGCATCAGTTTGAACCGCAGCGTTCACCAAGATCTGTGGAAAGCTTTATGACATTAACAAAATAAAAGTTGATGCAGCATTTCTCACAGTAAGATCGACTACAAGTAAAGTGAAAGTAAACACCAGGTTTTTTGAATTTTTGTTCGAAACTACCATTGAATGCTCTGCAAATGCAGCCAAAATATGTGCGCATTATGCTCAAGAATTCTATTTCAAATTCATTACAAGTCTCTCCAAACTGCAAGACTGGTTTGAAGGAAAACAGAGCGAACCGTCTTTCTCGCGCTTAATAACCTTTACAAGTGCTCATTAACATACCTTGTTCTGTCCAATTGGTCCACCAACTCCGGGAGCAGATCCAATAACACCTGTTACTCCCCCACCGTTCGGTGGTGCGGGGGNATTGGTCCACCAACTCCGGGAGCAGATCCAATAACACCTGTTACTCCCCCACCGTTCGGTGGTGCGGGGGCAAGCACACCACCGCGGTCACCCATCGATGTGGAGCGTGCCGGCCATGCCGGCGAAAACATTGGATCGACAGGACTCCACTGCTGTTCTGCTGGGCTGTGAAGAGATCCAATAGCCTGGAAGTACACCTGTAAACGAATCAAGGGTTTATATATCTCCGCCACGGATCATACCTGCGGCATGCTGTTTCTGCTTTCCCAAAGAGACACAGGACGGTTTCCGGCCTGCACTAATGGTCCACCCACGGCAGCACTGCGATTATTTGAAAGGGCTTGAACTAGAGGCTGATGAGCAGACATCGAACGAGCAATTGGTCGAGGTCCGTATCCACGAGCTGATGATGGACGCAGCACATCCAAATCGGGAAAATGCTGAAAGGATACTATGACTCAGCAGTATTTGAGTTGCAACAGACATATAACTTGTGGTTCAAACATTTCGAGTATTCATCATACCTGCTTTATGAAACCGGGATAATCATAATGAGGCAAGTTACGGCGCACGGATACATATGTACGATTCGGGAACAAAGCGAAAATCCATGGGTGGCCAACTACGAGATTCAGAAACTCTTGACGACCTGAATTAGGCGAATTTGTAAAGTGTCCAGTATTACGTGCTTGCTTAATAATCAGGAGCTGAAAAGCACGTTTTATTACAATCTCAGTATAGAAATACGTACTTTCGCCAATTTGTTCACGTATCTCGGGGGCCATCTCTGGTCCAATGAAGTAATCGTAGAGGCATTGAATGGCAGTTGCACCACCACGACGTAAGAGGTAGGATGCAAGACGAAGTACGCACAAATAGACTGCTGGGTTCTGAAAAATACCAAAACCCTATTAAGTCATTTTATCCCGAAAAATAAAACTAATTGGGCAGCATACGGAAAATGTGGGACAAAAAAGATATATACATCAGTCCGTTTAAAATCGCCTTTTCAGAGATTCATGAGATTTTGCCATTCTCCAAAAACGTCAAGAGAAGGGAATTTACAACTGTCTACTCCCTTTCGCAAATGTCGGAAGTTCCAATAACTGATGGGGCACAAGTATGTATCTTTTTTACCCTGATTTTTTGAACCAAAGCAGCCAAGACCCTAAAAAAGCGACTTGTCATTGGCTTACCTGTAATGCTATGTTATCCTCTGGTGTGAGACGGAAGAGGTGGGTACGACGTTCGACAAACTGGCGGCGTTTTAGAGATGATGTACCAACGTAACGGAACAGCTCTTCATCTGCACAATTCGACATCTGGGAATGCAAGCTGAAAAAAAGATGTGTAATCTCAGTAGAAACGACACCATATACAACCCAACTTTTAGGTAGATACATATATGACATCTTTACAAATGATACAATACACAAATAAACTAGAATCTTACCTGCTGAGCTGAATCTGTGTAAGAGCATGACGTTGAAAAATGCCCAATAGAGCTGGAATAGCTCTTGCCTCAATCACTGGTGAATAGGCGTCCTTGGAATTTGGCGGTGTAGGACATGCCTTTTCCAAATCTACTTCAGGTGCATTGAGAAATACTTGCTCTGCTTCCTGTAGAACATAAAAACATGAATCTACGAAACACCAAAAAGCAGGGGAGCTTTCCATGGAAACAAGAATATAAACTAACTGGTCCATATAATGGATGTACTAATGTGGCAGTGTACTCATTGGTTTCATTGAGCGACGCTTGGAACGACAGTGTAAAACCAACACGGAGTACAGATGTGAGGTCCGTAAGCATCTTAAATGAATCATAGAAACCGTTATACTTTTACAGTGATTTCGCGACCGAAAAATCTTTATGTACCTGATCGCAAAAGTCCTTTATCTGGAACGATATCACCATTTTATTCTTGCACGTTATCAGACCAGCTTTGCCAGATAGCCAGGTAAGCTGTCCATAACCTTGTATCGATTCAGCTTTTGGTGTATGTAGTTCTAGCTGGTGGTGGTTAGCCATGTATGAGGCATTGCCGCCTAGCAGGCTGCTCATGGCCGGTACTAGTCCTAAAAACCAGTCTACAATGAAGTTCTCAACTGTGCGCCCAAAAATGGTAAGCGGCGTTTCCCAAAAGCACCACAACTCATTAATCACTTCAACACAGACCTTGCTATCTTTGATAGTAGCTCTAGTTTTTAAATGACATACATTTCATAGCCATGCCCCGTAACGCTGGATGTGGAATAGTACACGTTGATGAATACTAACTAATGCGCCCTCAAAGAACACGAAGTCGAATGGGTGCCAAGGAAATGTTCTTTGTGAACCATGGAATGTATGTGATTAGTGTATTTACAAACCTGTTGAACCTCCATATGTCTGAACACCGCCTGTGGACCAGATATTGTGATGTTGATGTTGCTGTTGTGCAAACAATCCACCTATTTCATATGCCATTTTTGATATTCGATCGACAATGTGCCGTCTTCTCGTCCTAACTTGAGATGGTCCAGTGAATCACAGTCGTCGTCTACCTCACGTTCCCATAGAAACGACGCCTTGTCGCCAAAAATACGATACCGGATTAAACAGATGTTTGAACAATCGCAACAATCAATACGAAAACTAGTTGGTTGAGTCGCCGAAGTGAGAAAGTGTGATGCATGAGCGTAATCGCTGACTTAAAAAACATTGAGAGAAGAGAGAAGGAAGCCTAAAATCGAATGTTACATCATCAGACAGTATGATTACAATCTTATTATAGAGGAAATCAGTTTGGAGAGGTTTTTCTGGAAATTCCTAACGGAGCGGGACATACTCATTCAACGAACATCAAAATTTAGAAAGTTAAACACAGCCGGCTAAATCACAAATAACTGCAGACGATACGGTATGTGACGTGTTTCGCTCTGCTTAATGATTTCACCACCAAAAATGTGATATGAAGATAGGAATTCATCGCTTCACATAAGGCACAGAATACGAACGGCTCCGAAAAATTCTCATTCACTACTTAGTTCAGCAAAAATTGTGACGCTGCAAAGTAAATGGAACTTACAGAAAGGGTGGTATACCAGATCTTCACATGAAACGTGATAATTTGACAATTGCTCAGTAACCAGAAGTCAGAGAGAAGGAGAGAGTGTGATGTTGGGAAAGTACTACCAGAGAAGCAGGCTACCCTGTGTAAATGATGGAGAAAAATGAATGAACGAGCGACATGAGCAGGATTAACATATGGTCTCAATCTCCGCTTTCTACACGCATGCTTGAATGCAGAATAGGTAACTTCTGAAATTACATTCCTCTCTGGGTCTCCAACAAATAACTAAAGACGACCAAATCACTTACACATACCTTGTTTAGAAATATACTATGCTTTGGTGGCTTCAGGCAAAAAAGTGACTAATAGGAGACTGATAAAGGAAGCGCTAACAGCTGCTGACGAACTGAACGCTTTTCGATGAGGCATAGGACGTATGAACTTAACGATTGCCGCCGCACAGTTTTTGCCTTTAGACACACTACTCTTACAAATTATATTTCTGCCTCTTCATATCGGAAAACCAGCTTGAACACTCTTCTCTCCCATTCTAAAGGACCCGTTACTTCTGAAGGTCAACAGATACGGTCTTTGTTATTTTGTCGGGCAACAAGTGAGTGAACGTGGAACTCTGAAGGAAGCACACTCTTCGTCATTGTACTGCCACCACGACGGTTTGACAATTTGCATATTCCTAACCGGGCCCCATTAGACCCTTAGGGCCAGGAAAATATCAAGATAACAACGTTTACAGTTAGAGAGGCCCACCCTCAAATAGACCACAGGACACTTACAGTGATACTGCGCTATATTACGATACAGGTGATGATGAATACGGACTGGGAGATTTAGCGGCGATTGATATTGGCGACGTAATCGACGCTAGAGACATCAAATAAAATGCCGACAACAGACCGATCCTTATACCGCAGAATGCTAATTCTGCACAGAGGACTGCACAAAGCGAGGCTGTGAGTTGCCGGACAGAACAGAGAATGCTGATCGATATGCCACAACACACATAACCACACCCACGTTCCGAACCCAAACGCCTCCGAGCCAACAACGCACAGCAGAAACTCTGAATAGAGAGAACGCATTCGTTCAAATGCCACATACATTCAGCAGCACCTGGAAAGACAGAACAATGAGAAGCTAGCTGCCAATGGAAAATCGCTCAGTGCTCGCGACTAACACCAACATTTCTCTTGTTGTCACAGCCTACTCGTCCCTGGGAAATCCCTTCAACGCTTCCATGTTTAGCAACAACATCTGAAGAAATTGGGGGAATAGAATCGGGCCGCTTCAAAAGTAATATCGCAGAAAGGAACTAGAGGTTGTCATTGATAAGAAGTAAATGGAGGGACGACATTGCTCGGGTGGGCATGCATGAAACTCAACAACGCAGTCTTTTTGGATGAGTAAGTCGAACCAATCTTACAATTGCTCTGTCCTAACAGATCTTTGAAGCTTTTCATTTCGACCCACATGAAGCTTAACAAATCCTAAAGGACTTTGATATCGATACCTATGCAACTGAAAAATCGGAAAATGGTGCGCTCAATTTTCCAGAACAAGCAGAAGACTGAGAATTGCTTCACTTGGGTTCCTTGAGATCAGTTTGCATCATCTCCATAACCAATGACCTGTTAGACCAACTAGTATTAGATCGGCGTTCCTACAATCCCAGCAGGGAACTGCATATGACGCATTTCGTGCGGCCTCGGAACGATTCATTACTTCACTGCATTCGTAATCTTACGAAATTCTCAGTCGTTTCTAAGAAAATTACAGCAGTTATTTTAAATACAAGGGAAGGAACTTGTTTGAGGCTGCCCCCTTTCCTTTTCCTTCTCGATCCCTCAAAAAAATCTTTCGTTATCAGAAGTATCTCGTAGCAAATTCTACAAACTGCAAGACCATAACTCTACCCATCTAACCGCTGAAGAACTACGGGAAAATAGAGAGGAGAAATATGATTGTAGTTTTGCCCGATGTAACCCTCAATGACTCTGTAAGCCGTCCCACATATCCATCGAAGTCATGCTCGTTTGATGTGTCAGGCGCAGAGCGATGGGAATATGTGTTTTGCAATGACAACATTGCAGTCACCTCTATTAGCATAGAGTCAAATTACGATTACAACCATCACTTTCAGGGATCCTTAGAATGAATGGATCTTTTCAAAAATCACGGATAAGTGTGAAATACACCTTAACTATTTACTTATTTGAGGAAAAGCTCGCGCTTAATACTAGGGATGAGCTAAAAGCACTAAAACCACAGAACATTATACAGACTACCTTATGAAAGAGATTATCTAGAAGACGTTTCGAGGAGTCAGAATTTATTTTAGAATTTCACTTACACTTCGGTGAACCATTACAGTTGTAAGAGCAACTAGAGCGTAAATGAAGGCTTTCATAGATGATGTGCATGTGTGAGAATGCGTCGGNCTTTTCAAAAATCACGGATAAGTGTGAAATACACCTTAACTATTTACTTACTTGAGGAAAAGCTCCCGCTTAATACTAGGGATGAGCTAAAAGCACTAGAACCACAGAACAAGATACAGATTACCTTATGAAGGAGATTATCTAGAAGTGTTTCGAGGAGTCAGAATTTATTTTAGAATTTCACTTACACTTCGGTGAACCATTACAGTTGTAAGAGCAACTAGAGCGTAAATGAAGGTTTTCATAGATGATGTGCATGTGTGACAATGCGTCGGCGAAACATCGCAGCATAGGCAACACATACACACCACACGAGCAAAGAGACAATTGACGCAGAAAAATTGGCCGACAACGACGACGACGACGTTGTCGTTGTCGTCGCTGGCCGGCCGGCCGTAAACACGGTCACACACACACACACCGCTCGCAGAAGCTGCAAGAGTAGATGTGTGTCAGCAGCGACAGCCACCAGCGAATTTTGTTAGGATGATGGGAACGTCAGGAAGGAAAAAAAGGAATGAAATGAAGAGGCAGAGAGCACGAGTCGAGAGAGTAGCAGTGTGTGATACGCCCCAGACGATCAATAATCGGAGCTTGCGCTGTACGGGAGTTGGCCTGACGCAGGGGCGAGCGACGACGCATACACCAGAGAAACGGATGCTGGAGATGAGACAGTGTGGGATTTGCAGATACGCAGACACATACCCCGTTGAGATTCTCGGTGACGAGGGTGCTAGGCGTCGAGAGCGACCGGACAGAGACGTAGAGCAACGGCGCTCGCCGCACACGCCACACCACCATCGCCGCCCGCCGCCACGCCAACGACGATAACGGTAGCGCAATCATCGGCTCATAAAACTTATCTTTGGGTCGGGAATGATTGCAAATGGTTCCAGTGAGCAGTTGGGAAGTAGGCCGCTTGAGTGGTTAAGGAAGATTCTGGAAAACGACGGGCTAGAAAGCCTGGATCTAAGCTTTTGTGGTAAGCGAAGCGAAGTGATGGGAAATAAATGACCGAGAATTGAACACGATGGTATTCAATATGTGCAGAAAGCGAAATTGCGAGCCTGTTTAATGAGAGATATTTCTTCAACAACTGAATGTAATTAAGAGTTCTTTAGTGGACTTCGGCACACAATGATGGATAGACACACGGATATCTTTACAACCGACTTCGGTCGTTTCGTTTATCGACTCAAATTTGGAGCTCTTTATAAATAGAGGTGAAGTTGAAGTCTTTTCAAGAAAGTCAGTGGTTAGAGAGAAGGCCAGTTCCTGTTGTACAAGTGTCCGTCGAACTTTGAAGCGTTTTTTTTCTATTTTTAATAAGGATTCCTCTTCAGAGAACCAAAAGTTGCCAATACCTTGTTTGTTCGAGTTTTATGTAAAGAAACCGAATTCATGGATGTATTCCAGAGCTTAAGAGGTAAGAAAGGACCGCTTTAATGCATTTTCCTCATAAACATTCTATTTATATCGACCACTAACCCATTTTGTCGGTCTGAAGACTGCTTGTTCTATCCCTCCTCCTGCTGACTTAACAATTATTGACAGACATTAGAGGAATGGCATGGAGCAGAAGTCGTAAATAGCCTAGGAAATATTGACTTCGCAATGATTCGCGTTAAGTGGACGGGTCTTCTAATGCTGCCATCATCACTCGAAAAAGATGCGAGAAATAGATATAGCAGATAGACCCATATACCTCCTACAAAGGCTCAAACAATGTTGACTTAAGGAAAAACACGTTAGATTTTCAGTTGAATTGTTTGATCCCATCAAAAGATCTCATCTAGGTTTTTCCCACACTACTGAGGAGTTGTTCCTACCAGCATTGCCGATATCACGTTTACACCCATAAGTCACAAAGGCTGCATGGGAATAGCCAAAGCTCTCTCAATCTTTCACTTCTCGTTATATGCTATTTTTTTGCGGATGCATACTTGTACTGCAGTGGCTGGGAAGGCGGGCATTCATGCCCATCTCGTATCGAACGGGTCCAGCAGTTCCCGAGAGAGTGTGTTAACTCTCCACTTGAGTTGGGGGATTGACAATTGACCTTGTACACGGATGTAGTCAACATAAAGCGACATTGGGTCAGACTATGAAGAAAAAATTGTTACTAAGCATAATTCTACACTGACACTTTATATATTTAATGGGAACACTCTGCTAGAACACTGCTGTTAGAGTGCTAGAACTTTATAAATTTTTCATTCAAACAAAATCTAAATCAAAATAGGAAATACTAAAAACATCGCTTACGGAGCAGAGGAGATAGCCGTGTAGTGTGCGGCTGGCGTCATATTCGATTACGTTTCTGTCGTCGACATATAATAATAAGCGACGATATGCAGCCCTCGTATGATAACCTTCTCCCTTTACCTTCTCCATACACTCCCGATAGCCGTAAGCTCATTATTGAACCTCACCCGTTTACCGAGTCCCTCTGCGATGGGGCGAAAGGGCGACTACGGTGTAGTATAAGTTTTGCTAATTTCAAAAATCTAATAGTACCCCCTTAGTTCCAACAGTTTTTTGTAGGAATGGAGTCAGGCGGCCATCTGATAGTTGTCAATGGGTGGCTTGATGGGGTATCGCGCCAACGACGATATTCTGCGTCTCCTCTATGTGTGAATCATTCTTGCTTGCCCTAGCTTTTTCCGAGTTGGGGTCTTTGATGCCGCCTTTCAACGCTGCGATCGAACGAGGTGACTGATCCATTCTATGATTCCTCAGTGTAAAAGGTCTCTTATTTCATAACAGGCGCGTCCACTACTATCCCGGTTCTCCCCCTGTGCTTTTTTCGTATACAGCGTTAGCGTTTAACAATATTGCCAAAAAATCGCCGAAAAAACACGTTTAACAATATTGCCAAAAAATCGCCGAAAAAACAAACTCCCTAACGGAATATTAAATTTTTTAAAAAGTTTATGATGTTGCAATTTCCCATTCCACCCACCCGTTTCGAGCAAAAAGATCGTCATTCGATCGCAAATTTCACAGCGATGTGGGAGAAAGGGCAGAAAGTCAGCAGCGTAATTTTCAGTTTCGATTACATCTGAAAATCAATTGGAGGTATTATTTTTTTTACAATTTTTGTATCGAAACTGATATCATATAAAGTATGCAGCAGAATGGAGCAGGTATGACTAGAAGTAATTCTTAGTTCTATTTCTTGTATGCATATTCATGTATGCATGTATATGCAAAAGGGTCTGAATGAGTTTCTCACACAACGTCTTAAAAAGTTTCTGGAATCTTCGTAGAATCGTGCGAACTCGTAAATTCGTGCATTACATCACCGATAAGTGTTCGCTTCGCGTGAATGAAAATTCATATCTAGCACATGTCACATTTGTTACAGTGTATTGAGCACGATGTGGTGATTTAATGTACAATGTTACAAGCTCACACCAAGCAAACAGCATGTTGCTGCTCCTTCACACTCCAACAACCATTAATCCCTAAACATAAGCTGCTAATAGCTCACGCTCAAGGATTAGTGGTTGTTATTAGAAATCGGACGGAGAAATCGACCACTAATTGAACTAGACGTTGATCAGGTTACCGTAAATCTAACGTGACAGCACCATTTCACTGATACGTAAGTGGTTTTAGTACAATCGTAGCTACTTTCAAGGTTACAGGAAGCATTTGGCTGGACATGAACATCTGCAGAAAACGCATAAGACAAGAAGGAAACGAGAAATTCGGAGGCTGTACCTTACGACCTTGAATGTGGAAGCATCTTGTTGATTTGCCTTTTGTCGATATCTATTGCTGCGATAATACGTCCTCAATGAAAGATAGAATAGAAGAAGAAACGTCAAAAGAACAGAAGTGAGATAAGGGCAGTACACATAAAAATCACGTGCTTCCAATTTAAATTGTGAATAAGCAAATTCGTTTCCAACAGCAGGACATAATATGCGTTATACTTTAACATTGAGTTACTCCATTGCGGAATGTGGTTGATCGCTATCGGGATCAATCAATGGAATTATGGAATGTGGAATTAATGGGAATTCACTTCTATGTTATCTCTATTCAATAGCAGACATTAGCAGCCACCCCTCGGGATCTTGATTTCATTGTAATCACAAACTTTTGCAAAAATGTTTGTTGCGACACCAGCAAATTAATTACAGAATGCTGACTAGGTTGTCCCACAAATAAATATGCGTAGGCGTAAAGGAGTTGTGTTTTTACTGGCTACAGGAAGAAGGAGTAGCCAATCGGTGATTAATAAATAAACGATAACAAAAAGATGCGGTCAAATAAATAAAAAAGGCTTATTGCTCAACGAGAAGTAAGCAGTTTCGAGTTCACCAAAAACTGCTTGGGATATTTTCATTTTCTTCTAGAAGTCCGTCTCTCATAAGCATCTGAACGTCGGTGATCTCAGGAGACAACTTGAATATCTTTTCGACTACTCAACTTTTTTTGAAGGCATTGGAGAAATTGCTGGTTACTTACATTAACCAAAATGAAGTAAAGCTAGTACAAAGGCTTTTTTGTGATTCGAAAAATGGGAAGTGAAATACTGCACAGGCATATAGACTGAATTCTTTGAGCGAATATTATTTTTGATAAAAATCAAAAAGTGCAAGTACAAGACAACTAAAAGCCTACTGATGTTTGATCGAGGATCTCGCTAGATGTTCGAACGGTTACTACTTGGTTCAACTTGATCTGCGGTCCACGATTTACAACGTGTCAGCCGTTTTCTGGCAGTTGCCACCAAACTGATACACATAGAACAGAGAGCCTTGGTTCACTCTCTGCATCAAGGGAGAAAACGAACAAATAATTATCGACCTGTGACTTACCCACACTCAATGCGAGTCAGACAATCACAGGTACTCAAGTTTTCCCGAGTTTCTCACTTTCCCACTCGTTAATCGACTCATCACTCTCCGAGGGCCCCCGATTTTGCAGCAATGTAGGTAAACAATGCTTGAAGGAACTGCGTTCTCGTTGATGGGATACTTTCTGTAAGAGATTAGGACAGGAAAAAGATAGTTGTACGGCAGGATTGATCTCGTTTATGGGACGCTTATCTATAAGAGCCTAACATCCATAAATATTCAATACCTACTTTAATTCTATCTAACAAAGGTGAAATCGCAAATTCTAAAAGAAGGGTGAATTTTACTTCGCATGTCAAGATTAGCCTTACGGCTGCAATTAACCTTCAACGAGAAAACCTGGGCGATGTAGCAGGTCTTTGCTACCACTCTCGAGATGAAAGATAGTCACAGAGGAGTTGACCGTATCGGAATGTCTGATATGGTGTCAACGCCTTCAGTCGCTCTTATCGGACGTGCGCAAGCATCATTTCGCAATATCATGACTTTATAACTTTGCTGCCGATACACGATGACCAATAGACTAAAGGATAAAGTTCTCGTTGTGGCCGGACCTCCTAGAGAGCCCTGTGCTTCGATTTCATTTTCTTCCTCAATAGGCTGTGCAACAACAGAGAGATCTGTCAATCTCACTACAACTGCCATTACCACCGGCATTAGCCAATCAGGACTTCAGCTGGATAACTTCAAACGACTATGTTCGAAAAACTTACGTGTCGCGTACAGCGGCAGAAAAACTACTTGGAGGGAACAATAACTCAAACACGTAATACGGCAAGCTTAGTTTCACGCTTCTATGTCGATATGGGTGACGGCTCATCACGTTGCAAGTGTGAGTCCTGATAAGCTACGGTAGAAATGCCAGGAATAAGAAGAGGTCTTTTCAATACTAGGGATAAAGAAAGCATAAGTATGCATTTGAATCCAGCCGAGACTAATCATTATGCCCACGATTCGCCATTTCCGGATACAACTCACAACTTCGAAACAGTCTGTATGAAGAAAACAGAACAAGCTATCATAATAATGGCAACGGACACAGCTTCGGCAGTGAGAACGTATTAAACATCACTACCCGATAGATGCGGCACTTCAAAACCGCAAAGTTAAGGGAAAAGCCGTTGTACGCATACTTTATTAAAATAGATACAAAAATGTACACATATGATACTGTTGGGACGGTATGTATCACTCTCCCGTATCGACCGTATCGCTGGACTTTTCTCTTTGAGATCTTGATTCATCCTTATCATCGTCTTTTCTTTCTCCAGGCTCAGCTCCCGCTTCATTGGATGATAGCTCATTATCCTCATCTGGAAATAACGTTAGATAGAATCAGGGAAGCGGAAGAGGGAGACTAACATTGCATTAGATGGCACTAGCGTAGATACCTGCGAGCAACTTCTGGAAATTAGCGAGAATTATATTGAGCGCGTGAAGATGATTTCGACGTTCCGATAACTGCAAAGAAATACAATAATCCCAAAGGAGCCAAAGACTGGGAATCTGGTACATTAACACCTCGAATAACTGAGGGCCTCTTGACTAAAAAGTTAAAAGATATCCTTGGATATCCAATCACTCTTTCGTTTCGTTTCAGCTCTTATAGACCCGCGCTGCGCAACCGATGCTTCGTAAGCATATCAACAATCGCAATTACATAACACGGACTATGAGAGCACCCTTTGACTCGATTGAAAGCACAACTTTGAGTTTCAAAGCACTCTTAAACTACGGTGAGTAGTCCCTCAAATTTAAAGAGGACGATATTAAAAACTTCATCTGTTTACGAAACTCACCCTAGCTTCTAACTGTTGCTGTCGCTCTTGCTGCTGACTAAGCTCTTCTTGCATATCTTCTAGCTTCCTAAAAGTGGGTGATCTTGAGAAATGATGAAAAAAAAAACAGTTGCTCCCAATCGGGTTCCTTATTTACAAACAGTCTTAGGAGGAAAGTGTAAGAGAAAACCTAACAACAAACAAACCTGGTCGTTTCAGCACGAGACGGAAGATCGTCTATCATTCCAACTAGCAAAGCATATTCCTTACGATTTTTACGAACAAGACGTGCTGCTGTGAGCTCCTTCTTTGCCTGAGCCATTTTTTCACGACTTATTGCTATCTGAAACAGCTGATACACATAGACGTAAAAGTGAACTAAGTATCACGTTATCTTTTTTGGTCTCGTAGTATTCCCCGCTTCAGCGAGAGTGCTACGAAATGCACATGTGAAGTTAGAAATAAAAGAAGCACAGGCTACAACGAAATGGTACCTCTCTATCCACTCTTTCTGCCATCTCTTCGTATTCTTTTGTCTGCCGTTCACTCATTTCTGCGATTTCGCGTTGTTTTCGCATTGACAATTCGAGGGAATCAATCTAAAGTAAACAACGATGAATGACTTAAATGCTTGTGGCAACAGTTGAGATCTTCAGAGTATTCATTTCAAGTGCCTGAGAATTTTAGATCTTCTCGAGAGAAATATCGGACACTCGGAATCCAACATTTGAAGGCTTCATGCTGTTCGTTATAGAGTTATGGTGAACTATGAAGCTGAGGGCAGAACAAAGGTGTTTCCTATCATTGTATTCCTTCGAATCACGTCAAAAAGTATCATGAAAACTAACGAAGAAAAAGAGACAAAACTCACCAGACGTAATGCCTTGATGGCTTCTGCTTTGCTCACGGTATTGGGATTCCGAAGTAATCGAAGACAACTGTTCAGAAGCTGGAACCGACGTTCTTCACCTGTCCCTTCACCATCAGCAAGCAGCTTGCGAAGTAATACTTCTTCCCGCATTTCTAAACTCAAGTGGCATTGATTATATTGTGCTATTGGAAATGATTAAAAAATGTAGTGTAAGGCTACTTGATGTCCCACTAAGGGTTTGAGTGCCCTGATTAACTTTTAAATTGCTGCATATACTACCCGACCCAATTTTTCCTCCTGTTTTCATCTTCGCATGAAAAGAAACACCCACAGCAAGTGTCGCTCGGAAGCCATGTATGACAGTTCAATCTCACTTTACTGAGGTTCCACTCGTCTTCGACAAACGTCACCCTTGGTGTGCCAGCGATGGAAAGTTCAACGCTACATCAATTGACGTCCTCTCACTCCAGCAGCCCGGGACATTGAATATTTTGCGCGCCTACTGTTCGAAGTTACCCACCTCATCAACTGTGGTCGAAGCTACTCCTATGGAGATCGCTAAGAGAGCGACGCACTAGACAAAGAGCTATTTACTGTTGCAGAACTCATTTGCAAGTTCGGGTTACCACGTTCCAGCAAAGCCGCATTACACAGAAATTCATTGATGTACAAACTTCGGATTGTACCTGACACTGCAGAACACGGACGAGAAAAAACAACAATTTATAACAGAAGAATCAACAATGATGATTAGGCATTAGATTCCATCTTGACATGTCTTTTGTTGTGCTTCTTGGCGAAACGCAAATTCTTGAGGAATTTAGGGTCGACACCCTTCATTGACATGAATCTTTGCTTCTTCGGCCTCTTAATGCCATTACGGTGAGCCTTCCTATCTGAAATGAAGAGATATGGCAGCACTCCGGATCAAGATGGAAAAGAATTACTTTGTTGACGGAAGAATAAACCACACAAGTTTTCTTAAGCCATAACAGCAATAAAGAGGGGGAGTATCACACACACCGAAGGAAGAGTAAGCGGTTCTTTTTTTGCTCAAAAGATACTGCTGATAACTGAAAAAGACTTGATCAAAGGGAGAACAGGTGCAATACTTGCACGCTGCCAAAGAGTGAACTTTTAAAACAGCCGAGCTACCCAGGCCCAAGAAGTATGTGGTGTAGGCGCAGCACAAAGTATTTGAAAGCTCTCAATGAGAACTTTCTGAGTGTCTACCTTGTGAAAACCTTGTGGGCAATGAATTACAAACATGAATCCAGGAAGTGAACATTCACTCAAGGAAGTTTGTTCCGTCCCATTGTAAGGCAAAATGAACAACTTTTCCTGTTTCTCACAACATTTAGCACTTTTTCTTCAAGACCGTCGACAAAATGAAGCTTCAGTTATAGTTGATATGGCAGTCCCTCGGTATGGAAAGGCATACCCATATTTCTCGAGAGGAATGACCAAAATTCGTTAAAATGCACCGTAAGGGACAGCGGCATAAAAGAAAGGGAAGAACAACACTAACAATGCAAAAACCATAACTCGATATAGCAGGTTTCGCTGCAAACATCACAAGGAAGACTACTCGATTTTTCAAACAATATTCAGCAGCACGATATCGATGTCAAATTAAAAAATTACTTCAAAGTTTAACCCAAAATTATTCACCAAAAAAAAATTCCTTGCAATCTAAACGTTTCTAAAAGGAATAGAAGCAGATGCATAGCAAACGTACTCTGGTTATGATTCGTGTGATTCTTTGACTTAGCCATTTCGGTGGAGTATTACCTGAAAACATAATCTGAAACTGTGAAAACGATCAAGCTAATTACAAGCATTAATATTTAAGGACGAACAATCCTTCAACAACAAATGACCTTCATGGTCAGTGACAAATCGAAAAAAAACTGAAACGAAGTATCAATTGCGATGCATGGATTTGTCAGGTTTGTTCTCAGAGTAAAATAGTGAACGAATAGCAGCAAATGACTACTTTCAAATTTGAGTGCATTTTCGAACCTGGTCAATCATTAAATTTACCAACACCGGCTTAATAGGTGTTTGAACAGATTGTCGACAAAAAGAATGCAAAAGCAACATGAAGAAATGAAGGAATATATTTGTTGTAAACTACAAAACCATTGTTCACAAGAAACCCCCCAAACAATGCGCACACAGAAATGAAAAAGCAAGGAAACACTTTTCAAGTAGGGAATGGTTACCCTACTCCCAAGCGTAAACACTACTACAAATTATCACATAAATACAAGAAAATATTCAAAAAGTTTTGTAAAAATCCCAAAATCTTCACGACCGAGGAGGCCACGAAAGCGCAACAACTCGTCCGCTGTTGTCGCGTTTCTCTGCACTCTCTTTTAGAACCACGTCGAGGGTCGCCGTCTAAACCGCCTGCGACGCCTTCTGTGAGACTTTCGGACAGGACATCTCTTGGCTACGGTAGCCTGCGATTAGTATCGTTGCAAGAGCCTCAAGGTTCCACACAACTTACACCCTATAAGGTCACTCAGGAATTTGCTCTTGAGCTCGGTCCTCTCCATTCGTAGAGAATTCGTAGTGCTACGACCCTATTGTATATGGATATCAGTGAGAAAGAGGTTGATAGGGCCAACTTCGACCCAAACTCTAAGCGTTAGGTTGCAAAGAAGAAAGGGCGACGGCTATGTGGATCGGCAATGGAGGGAAGAAGTGTTGCTTAGCCAGGGGAATATAGTTTTTCTAAACCTAAGCCTCAGGAGGGAATGGCACTGGCGTCGGGGGTCAATAGCATGTTCTTTTCTTCCTCCATCCCAGCTTTATGCACGAGGTAATCGTCTCACTCGGTTCGGTGTTTCTTCCCTTCTAAGGCTTACGTAAAAAGGAAACTTTATTCTCCTAGCTAAGAAACGCTTCTGAGCACCGCTGTGGGCCCAGTAACCCCTCTTTGTATGCGCTCTAAAACGTGTTGGAGACGAACGTGCCCCCTACCTGAATTACATTCTACCTGGGCCTCTTCCATTGCAGACGAGAGTACTTCGTTGTAAGCTTTTCGCTTTCCGACGTAGATAAGGACATCAGACCTATCCAGGAGGATAAGAGAGCTAAATGGGACACCGATATGATTTCAGCAATTTTTCTTATATCAAAAGTTCAAATCCATATGTTCTAATCCAGTTCTTACTCATATGAATGACTTCTTGGGTATACCTATACCTATAGCAGAACTCTCGGGTGCATGCTTTTGTTCAGTTTAGTGCTCTTATTCCCTAAACAGGCCTCAGGGTAACTAGCTGACATGGAAAAAAGGGAAAAGCTGATGGCGATCGTCTTCAGTTCCGATCAGTGTTTACATATCCAGAACAGCGGAACAATCGAATTCAGTCGAGGGGCGAGCTCGGTAGCTTGATCCTAGTTTAGAGCAAAAGCTAGATTCAGCTCACAACTCTATCAAACAATTCCCAGTTCATGTGAAAGATGGGCACGGTAGGATTAGTAGGATTTGCGGCCTCATTAATGTAAATGGAACATGATAATTCCCAGGGAGCCTCCATTTTCCTACGTTTCGTTATACCGTAATATTTGCGGTGCCGTTTACGATTCCGCTGGGTAAACTGAAGTGGCGCCAGGTAGATATATATCGTTACGCGAGTGCAACAGCCGTGAAATTTTCACCTTCACAAAGAATCGTACGGATGATGAAAAACGTTCAGTTTTTCTCATGATAACCTCCACACGACACATCCGCGTTATTACCATTGTCACTGCTATCGGAACACTCTTGAAGTCATTTTTTTCCGATGGTAACCGTTAAAGTCGTTTCTCTTCAAGCAGCAAAATGCTCTTGAGAAAAAGTCACCGAGATTCATCGAATCACAAAGGAACGGGCGATATATGACGGCTCCAATTATGCAGTTTGTAGACTGCTGGCGCGTGCGGTCGCGGCACAGCATGCTGCGTACCGTACTCACGGACCAGGTAGCATTGAGAAATGAAAAAAAGGGGAAATCTGCACTGAGCAGCCGCTTTTATGTTACGCGAAAATATGTGATGAAAAATGTTTATATCTACTTCCTTCCTAAAATAGCAATACTTCGATGTAGGACGATTCATCATTGCTCAAGGTTTCAGGAGCTTGGCAGCCATGACGTGTCCACAAGCGCCTGAACTCCCGCTACTCTGGAATTGGGGAATTCATCCAATTTCCACTCAAAAATCAACAGTTATTGATTGTCACTCTGCAAGTATTGGAATACGTGGGATTCAAGCGTGTGCGGTTGCGTCGCGGTAAAATTAGACTTAAGGCCTGGAAGCCTGTACAGTGGATATCGATGCGATCATCAAATGATTTTATTCAGTAATAGTGTCACGATGCATTCGTTTTATATGCTTTTTCAAATCGAAATTTCTACAAAATCCTTTGCTACACGTCGAACATCGGTACGGTTTTTCCGTCGTGTGCGTATGCATGTGGAATGCGAGATTGTACGATTGATGGAAACCCTGAATGTATAAATCTTTGTTACGGTCAGATCGGCCAAATTCCACTGGATAGGACGTCATGCCAACATTTTCTGAAAAGGTAGACGAGAACTTGTGAGGGATTACACTCGAAGCCTTTCTAGCGAATTCAGGGGCGAGCCGAGTTCAGAAGAGCACATAACTATGGTAGAAACCAGGGACCAATCTAACGTAGTGCTCTCCTCCTTTGACAACTTCGTAAAAACGGAAGGTAGGTCGATCTTAAGCATGCGGCTCTCACTATAGATAGTTAAGGACAGAAATTTCACTAGCACCATCCCATCCTCCCCTCCCTCCTCCCTCTTCCGTAACCGGCGCGGTACGAAGAATGTGATATATGGGTCGGTAGTGGGAGAGGGAGAGACTGTTGAGAAGGAATAGAGGTGTTCTCTACAGTAGTGTGACTTAATGCTCAAATTAGTGAAGGATGAGGTTCCACCGCCATGCTTTGACTATGTTATAAGCATTCTATCATTACGTGCAGTAGGCGGTCGGATTGGGATCCCGTTCTTCCTAATGGAAAGTAGAATTTTCCACTCTTTAGTTGAATCAATTCAGAAGAAATCCAGCTGAGTGTGCTCAATTTGAAAGTCCATCGTGTATGAAAGCGAATATCTGCCACGACCTACCCTACGACGATGGCAGAAATTTCTAGCCCGGTATTCGTAGAACGGAACGGAAACCAAGGGAGGTATTGCCTTCACAGGCAAAGCCATGAAAAAGAAAAACGATACCTACTTTTTTGCATATTACACACTGAAATCTTTTTCTTTCCTCATGTGTCATTCGATGATTTCGGAAGTTGCCATTTTGATGAAAAGCCTTTCCACAAACATCACAAACGTATGGTTTTGTACCTGGAATCTCAGAATATTACTGTAAGGTTAAAAATAACTTTACCACACTCATACATATGTGACCTTATGAGTTAACTTAATTTCAGAATAAGTGGATTACGCTGTAGTGGAATATGCCCCCGCCCCTGAATGTATGAAACTGACCTTGGTGGATTCGGATATGCGTGTTCAGGGTGGATGACCGATTGAAGCTCTTTCCACATGTAGTACACTGTAAACCGAAGCTCCGAATAATATAAGGCAATAATCAAAATTATCCGGTGATGATTAGGGATACTTCAAAGTATTTGATCTACCAGCACTAAAAATTCCAGATGCAAATCTTCTAAGATAGCACGAAAAAAGCTAGTTGACTATTGGCTGACTATCGGAACTATTTCACGTCAACGCCATTCGATTCCGGTCATTACAGTGAATGCAGCATAAACCCTCGGTCATCTCTTTCCTTCCCTACCTGTCTCTCTACTATATGAGGGGGCTTGAATGAACCTGAGGACAGGTTCCTTGATTTCCTCATTCGTTGGTGGGCCATGGAGCCTTCTATAGGCATACCTGGTTTACTCCTACGGTTCCGAGATGCGTAAAGAAAATCGAGACTATGAAACGAATAAATCCTTCAGGTGCCTCCGTTGTCGTCGCCCAGAGAAGAAACCAGATGGCAGGCGAAACCATGAAAAATTCTGTTTCGAGAACTTACTAATTCATCCCCCGTTCCGTGAAAGTGCGAGTGCCCTTGGTATAATTCATCCTTTACTAAGCTACCAAAGCTGCCACCTGAGTGTCAACTCGAAGTTATCGTGGTGAATAATTTGAGTACGGTAGCGATCGGAAGGTGCCGATTAGGACCCACTAGAGTAAATCCGTTTATTCATAGCGGGGGGTAGCGAATGACAGTGGTGAAAGCGATGAGGAGGACATTTCAAGTAGGATCAGAATATTGGAGATGACATTTTGACGTTGCCTGATTTGAACTCAAACAAACTGAACTTGACTCTTCGACGAGGCTACAAATTCAAATCGTATCTGTCTGGGTGTTGGGTTGGAATTAACTCATGTGGGTAGGTAGAGGTAGACTCCTACACCTTATTCTTCTCATTGTAACTGAGTTATAAGCACCAGTGGTTAACTTGACCGAAATCCGATATTCCGCTGAATGCGACGTTACGGATCTTGACCACTGTAGTGCTACATACACGTTCCTGTTAGTCTCTTTACTGAAGAGATAACCAAGTCCAGTTCGTTATAGAAACGTTATTCAATTGAAATGCAAAGCTGGAGTTGAAAATAAGTACTCCTCGTGGAATATTAGTGAAGTACCACTGACTGCACTCTGACCTTTTAGATGCCTTGAAGAGTTACCAAAGATTTCGAGTTGGCGGTTACACCGATACTGTAGTGAGAAAAAAGCAGCTATAATTCAGAAACACAATAAAATCGATCTACAGGTCCTTACCGTATGAGGTTTAAGCTCTGTATGAATAATTTTATGACGACAAAGTGTAGAAGCCTGTCGAAATGATTTCCCACAGACCTAAAATATAGAGCGGAGTTGATGGGAACTTTATATCAGGTAAGTAATCATTAAACTATGAAAATCCTTCTGTGAACAGAAAGTGGATTCAGAGGAAATGGGACCAAATTTTCCGGCTCTCAAAAATATTTGGTTTTTTTTGATTTTCTGAGGATAAAGTCACCAATAAAGTTGTAAGTAGAACTAGAACTCGAAAGTCTTTTTTTTTTTATTCTCTTATGAATCAGCCTTAGCTCTTGCAATAGTGACTTCTCTTCAATAGTGTCCAGTAGAAGCTATGTAAGCAGAAGGTGAAAGTTTTCCTATAAACAAAGTCAATGAACAAGTATTACTTCTGCATGTAATAAATGCGTAGTTCGGATAAATTGGAAAAAAAATTAGTGAAAGCAAATATAAATGAAGTTGAACGGGCTACAGAAATGTCACACATTTATTGGCAATCAATACGCATCCATAGTGCATTCAAGACAAATTCGGTGTAGTTGAGTAATTTTACTATCTATAAATGAAAGAGGCAAAGAGAAAAGCCCGTCATTGGTCAACCTGCTCAGTATGCGCCGTGCAGTTTCGCCTAGGTCTGATATCCTTAGAACGCTTAAACGATTCATAGCTCTACAAAATGCCTGAGAAAAGGGACTGAGCAACCTGCACAAAATTACTCATTGTCAATCTTTTCAAGACAAGACCTTGCAGTTTAAATCTTATACAAAGATCAGGTGTTTGGTATGGCGTGGGGCCTATCACGTTAAATCGGTAACACTGCTCTGCCCCTCCTCTCATTTCCTCCGCCTCGTATTGAAGCACCTTATTGTGCGGGATGGGAACAAAAAAATGGGTATAAATAACCGATACGGATTCAAGGCATGTCTTAAAATTTCCATATGTTGCTGAATAGGTTATTAGCAATCATGCTTCAAACTTCATTTCTAAATTCGAGTCTTGCCTTACCTTACATTCAAACGGCCTCACTCCAGTATGTACCGGCATGTGTCGATTGAGGTTGTATTGAGCATTGAAAGCCTTCCCGCATACATTACAGAAGACTTTAGAACTTTCTGGAAGGAAATGAACTCTTATAAATTCCACTGCATTTCTCACTATATTTTTTTACAGTATTCCCTTCAAACTCTTTTCTTTAAAATCATTAGGACGAAGGATCTGCATGATGACTAGCTCCATAAGGTCAAGCTCATGCCTGTATCTCAACCATTGTAAAGCTCTGGGATGTAGGGTGGGAAAGAATCTTTTTTCAACAAATCTTAACTCAAATGACTCAGATTACAGGTTCAGCATACTGCAAAAGAGATCAGAAAAATCGAGACACCCACCAACATAGTCACTGGATTGAAGGGTGGGAAACGTTTGGAGGCACTGGCCACCAAAACATGTTGGAAAGCTTTGCCAGAAGTGATGAACCGGTTGGTTCGTTGGCTGAGGAAACGACCCCGACAGAAGATTCGAAATCGAGAACCTCAAGTCAGGCCCCATTTGGCTGACGTATGCACAGCCGACGACTGCCTCTTTGGACGCTCGTTAACCCGCCTCCTACAGTTACGGAAGTGGTTACGGTATTGCCATGAATATCGCCCGAAATCTTTATGGTGTCGGACAAATAGCACTCCTTAATATCTGATTTTTCTACCAATTCCTTCCTGCTTAGCGGTATTGATCAAGCCATTTTGCAGGGCGAAAGGCAAAGCTGCCTCAAAAAGGCATTGATTCTTGAAAAAATCAGGAGAAGAGACCACCCCTTTGGTCACTGCGCCACCTTTTTTCTTGGTGACAGCTTCATTATATGAGAGTTCACCTTGTGATCAATGGCACAATCAGTCTGAGTTATTAATCTCAAGCTTGTGTTTTGAATTTTTGCATGTAACAGAACAAAGAAGTTTTTTTTTTGGGGTGAAGAACTCTCGGTTTCTGACGAGCATTTCCCTACTTTATGGAAGAAGCAAGGCTACATGGTAAGCGTCGTTCAACTTCTCTTGAGCAATTACGGTTAATGGCTACTGTAGTCGGATGTTGTCAATTTGATCGGAATTGTCAATAAAACAACTGGAGTAAGGGCGGATTCAAGCAAGACAAGGGTTGTGATCCAGGCAGTGATGTGTGTGGCCTAGCAACGGCGAATTGCTTAACAGAAGTGTGCCAGCTTGGGAGGGAATGTGATTGTCAAACAGATTACGGTCTTGTTAGCAGTGTCATAGGTTTACGATCCTGCGAGCCCTAGAAATATCCCTTGCTGACAGAAGTGCCGAGTGTAATCACCGGCTTACGCGTCAACTTACTACACAACATTACTTACTGAGTGACGATTCAATCATCATTCCAACGACGTCTTTTGTTTTATTTCAAGCTTCTCAACTACAATGTTTTCTACTCCACTGTCGAGGAACTGTTGCGCATATAAAAATATTTATTAAATTTACAAAAAAAAATCCATGCACATTATTAGAATATATGAATTGCAACCGCTTCTTGATAAGGCTAGGAAGTCATAAATAACGAGTATCCAATAAATATTATCCCCATTATTAATTACTTGTACCACAATGTTGGCAAACTTAAGCAATGGCAAACATAACATATGAGGAGAAATGCAGGGCTTCTTTTCGTGGTCGTGATCTTTGGAAGCCTTACAAGGATACCAACGATTACAGCGACTATGCTAGCAAACTGATGCGCGCCGTCTCGGCACACTAAAACCATCTGTAGAGTAGTGCTGCAACCGCGCGCGTCCTATGCCAGTCAAAATCTACACTACTATTCGGTTACAGTAAAAAGTAGCATTGAGGCCTAATTTCCTTAGCAATGAACCCTATGGAGCTCTTATAGGCCGTAGACTTTGACTAACTTGTCGCAAATAGTCTTCGAACTCTAAAGTTCTTGAAAGTTAGTGCCATGCTGAAAACGGACTGCGTTCTCGGCGCTTCGGCTGTCGTTTGTAATTTTAGTAGACATAAGCGATAGAAGAAGTTGTTGCAGCTTAACTACAAGACGGTTTTGAAGAACTAAGTCATTATTAAAGCGCAACCAAGGGCATCATCATAGCTGAGAAGGTGCAACAGTAAAAGTGCAACCTACAGGGATTACACCGCATGCAGAGGTTCCTTAGCAACGTCCTCTTTAGAAGTTCTATCGAAAGTATGACTAAAAAGAATGAGGACTCAATGACAGCATGACAAAATGAAATACGGCGGATCATTACGCTGTGTGAGGCGGCTTGACAGTTTTCGATTCATACCCATACATGAACGTTGACACGATTACGATTGTGGCACCAGCGGCAAACATTCTGAAAAGAAAACGATCAGAACAGATAAAAGAAGACGCGGTTCTTTCTTTTGAGAAATATGTTATCATACTGAGAGGTCATAATTCAGGGAAGCTCAAGATGACTGAGCGGGACAGAAGAGGCGTATTACTGACTATGGAGCCCATCAACTGACCATGTGTATTGTGCGATTAAGGCTACCAAGGCTCCGCTCAAGGCATCAGCCATCAAAAGAAAAGGAAAGCTACCAATCATTCGCTGGATTTCAAAATATGATTAAGAAATGAACCAGTAATTCGAGAGACCAACTGCTTAGGCTGGCTGTTCGTCCCTCCTTTACTGAAAATGTACTGTAACACTTACAACGAAGGCGTGAAGTCACCCAATAAGAACCACGACGCAAATGACGATAGAATAATCGAGAGCGATACAGCGAAGCCTTTAAGGATATTATCGGCATATTTTACCACCAGCGCGATCACCAATCCACCATAGGCCTGAAATATTTGTGCACTACCATTCCTTTTCAACTCATGCGCACCAAACAACAAAATTGGAGTAGTATGAGTAAAAACCTGAAGCATAACAACAATCCAAATAATTGTATTATATCCTTGAAGGAAACCATCTTTTTGTATTGCTTCAAAATCATAAAGCCAACACATCAGAAAACCACCAAATATGGAGAAGAACGCTGCAGTAAAGAAAGTGGTGAGTAGATTCAAAAGAAGTCCGTGGATACTGTAAAAAAACAGAAAGCTTCCAAGATTACCTAGTTGAAGATTACGCATCCACAGAGAAACATTTGTAGTTTTCAATATCTTTTCGAAATAAACACCAGCAAAGCCACTAGAAAAGCAAGCTGCTAAAACAGCCAGTAGTCCAACAATACTGTCTGAGGTGTTCCCACTTTCAGCACTTTTAGCTGCACCACCTGCTGGCATCTGAACAAGGGAGACGGAGAAGTGAAATAGCAAATGCAAGAAGTAATTCGGAACAAGAAGAAAAATATCAACCAAACTGGCCTACCTGTACAAGGGCAACTCCACCAGTAAGTAGGATGAGAGCGAGCCACTTCAAGCGATTAAGTGAGCGTCCGAGCATGGTGACAGAGAAAAATGCAGTAGTAAGGATCTTCAACTGATAGGTTACCTGGAAAGATGCGAGATATGAAATAGGAAACATCTGGTGATTGTTTCAGATGGAAAAAATGCAAAACGGCTAACATTTTTAAAAGACGACCGCGAACAAAAGCTATACCTGATATGTCGCAGCATCCAGCTTCGAAAGGGCGAGGAAAAGAAGGTTGTTCTGAATAACATACAAAACTGCTGGGACTGCAACCTAAACCACGAAAAGTACAATAACAGCGACTTGCCCGATTGAATCAAGACACAGGTGACACGTCTAACAGAGTAACTGAAAAAACAGGCACAAACACAGGTGTGCATGCCTAACTGAAGATATTAAAAGTTAATATTTAAGGTGAGTCCAATGAGAATGTGTAAGGCACACTAACTAAACATGACAAAAAAGAAAGTGACCTTCAATGTTTCGCGCCGTTTTTGAATTACTTCAGCGTTAATTTCACCTAGAAAGGAGGTCCAGCGCCAACCTGAAACAAAGGTAAAAAGGTCCGCACTGGGAAACTGCTAAACAGATGAACGTCAGAGCACTGAAATCCTTACCATGGTTGTAAAAGAGCACAAGAATGCATGTCACCAATTTGACAATCTCAGCCATAACAACCGCTGTTGACGAAAGGTAACGTGGACCTTCATGTTTCTGTAAATAAATAAAGAGATTTGAGGAGTTAGCACTACAACCTGCACAATTATGCATTTAGACTCATGCAAACTCATCATGCATTTAGTAACCCTATCGTCATGGAGTCTGGGTGGTATCTCATAGAGCACATCGATCCTGATCGGACTTGAGAACAGGACCCGCCGTCTCCAAAAACGGTGCAAACTGGTAGGACCAAATACTCATCTAGTTAGATATTACTATGATATGATATGACCCTCCTTCCCCTCCCCTCTTCACTTGTCCAATACTTTCAAGACAACCCTATGGAGCGATGGAAACATCTTTCGACAGAATCGAAAAGTAATGTTTGTGGGCTTCTGTTCAGCAAATATAGGCTGCACAGCATGTATCGACCACGGTCCTAGCACACAGTCGCGAATGCTACGGCGCCAGACAATGAAATCACACAAATCGGGGGCCTAGACGAGCACACCTGTTTGGCTCCCATTCTCAATACTTCTCCTTCTTCCGAAGGTTTTATGTCCTTTCTTCGAGTATTGCGTACACGCGGTACGCTTAACAGCGGAACGATGCATCCAAACTTTGAATTGCCATGCAAAAATCGTCGTAAGCCTTCGGCCACACCCTTCCAACCAAGCCATTTTATGGACATAGACTGGGCGAGGTCTTCGAACGTCCCACGTGGCCATGCACCAGCGTCAAGTCTGAGTGCATAAATGACGCAAAGTCTCGCAATCGTTTGTAACGTTGGCGTTTTGATTGCCAGCTGAAATATCAGATCGGGTGTATTGAGCGGAAGGAAACCCTCAGACCGCTAGGTGTTTACCCGACCAGTTTAGCCAGTTCCCACGACAAGAGTTTTTAGGTTTATCAAAAAAAACGGCAACAAACCTGAGTCCTTGAATACCGCAGTATCAGCACAAGAGCCGTGGTTTGAGCAATAAGAACAATCAGGGATACATATTTAAGGTTCTTTGCCGCTACCCCATTCGTCATCCCTGAAANGGACGAAAACATCGTGGTTTGTGAGAAGTCAACAGTAATTAATGGATAGCCTATTAACAGATAATAATGACGAGGTGAAAAGCGGATGGCCTGAATCTCAAACACCCATAAAAATGCCCGACTTCCAAACGAAAAGCCTATACAAAAAGGTTGCTGACGTGACACTCAATTTGTACGCAATTTCGCGTACGCACAAATGCACTACGGTGTTACTAGTTGGCATTACTTCCTTTGCCCTAGGGAAGAAACTTGTTTTCGTTGTACGGATGGCTTATTTTTCTTATCTGAGTCGAGTTTCCATATAATTTTATTTTTCAAATAGTGTTTACATTATGTGATCATTTTTTCGGCCGCAGTTGCTTCGAGAAGGGCTAAGTAAGGGATTGGTTTCACTTTGAGAGGGTTTTATTTGTTCATGCACTGGAAATGTGTTGAGCTTTGTAAGAAAGCTAATTAGCAGGTAGTTTCACAGCAGTTTATGTGAAGAACTCAGCGAAATTAGGAGTAAGGCAGAAACTATTCCTTAATTGTTACCTTAACTACTGAACTTCTGAAGGACCACTGAGAGCCTACGATGCGTAAACCTCTTGATATCGTAAGATTTTTTGTGGTGTTTGATCTATTTTTTGATTTTTTTAGACTTTGCTTCTTTTTTAGTCGCAGATTTTTCCTGAACTACGCACTTCTAAACCAGCGCTTCTTGTGACTCACCTGTTTTCACCTATTCCACGGACTTTGAATGGATTTGAATGACTTTAGTCTTATCTGCAGCGTTTACGTACTCATATTTAGGTATGGCTTATTTTCGAAGCTTTTTTGGTGGTGGTGGAGCAGAAGCAGAAGAAGAGGATGGAGCTGAAATTGTCGAGAAAATGGTGGAGCGTGTCGAGACTTGTACAGCACTGGAAGATCGACGGGATGCCCTACGAGCACTTCGTGGAATGGCCAAAGTAACGTTTTCGTTCGTTTAAGCAAATACATTTACATCCCTTTAATGATGTTTCTGGGAGCAACGCAATGGGAACGAGGGCACTAGCACCACCGAATGCATGGGTTCTGTACCATGATAGAAATATGAAGGGAAAGGGATTCTGAGCTTCTTGGTGCACTTGAAGTTCCAAAAGGCTAACTCTTGATGGTAGATTGCAGGAAGGGCTTACTTCGGCGTTGAACAGCGCTGTATGCGTACAAAATGGCTTTATTAGATCAGTTTATTCTTAACTTCCCGGCGAGCTTGACCGCCGTTGTGGTCTTTAAAGTGGATTCAAAAGGTGGAACATAGAATAATAAGTTATTACTAAAGGCAATTCATTCTACGTGTTGCAAATATAAGCCAATCGGATTTGATTCCAGAAACTCCGATTAGCTGTGGGTACGATGGGTTTGAATGTATATATGGAGGTACTTGAAAAAGAAAGGACAAATCATGAACTTCTCGCTATTACCCTGGAAATACTGGTCGCCGTTCTCAGCAGTGATGATGAGAGTACCGATGATGACGAATTGGGTGAACGCTTGGCTGAGGTTGTTTTTTCTCTTTCGTTTCCACTCGTTCACACTGTTCTCCATTTATATAAACTACTTGTAGGTAATGCTCAAAAAACCAGTTTTCATCCCTTCGCTTCTAGCCGCTGTAGACGACTACGACATTACTGTTCGTAGGTGGGTTTTTTCTCATGTTACCCATAATTTTATATTTTTTACACCTTTTTGGTAATGCAGTGTATCTCCTGGAATTAACAGAGTATTCCTGCATTCTGCAAGTCAATAAAGTTACTAGTATTGATTTATAGTCGTTCTTGACGTACGAACCTTCCCTGGTTTTTGTCGAATTTCATCTCTGACATCAATATTGATCCTATTCCAGGTTCCTCTACAGTGTTCTCAAATGAAAATGACACATCTTTCCTCGATTTGTTTTTTGTGTTATCTAATTGAGCTATTTTTTGCCAGCAGAGATCGACTTTCGTAGTCATCCCTCATGCCTTATTTTTTTTCATCTGAAGCGCTCACCACTTTTGATTAGGACAGTATTTTCCCGCACGGACGTTTCTATAGATATCAACCCATTCCAAAGCTTCATGCATTGAACCGTCGTTGTTGAGCTGTCCTTGTTGAGTTTTGTGGGCTCTCTAATGAAGAAGCTAGTGCTAATGTAGAAATTAGGCAATGTCGGACCGGGCTATCCGCGATTTATGAAGTTACTTCGCACATAAAGTGTTGCTAATGAGCGTGCAGTACTATAGAGTCGGGATACAACTGCTGACCTCACTGCTCCGTCATCGAGGTCCCGAAGTACAAGCTGCCGTGATGGCCCAACCCACCGGTGTTCCTCATCTCGTGGATATTGTTCATGATCGGCGCGAGGTAGTTCGAAACGAAGCTGTATTGATGCTTTGTGAACTCAGCAGATCGAATTCACAGGTAATGAGAGCTCTCCCTAAATCTAGGTCGTGAATAAAATACTATTACGTTCCAGATTCAACAATTGCTTGCATATGAAAATGCATTCGTCCATTTGTTGGATATCATTGATACAGAGCCATTGGATAGTAAGTTCTTAACTTTCCTTTCATCATATTGCTATGTTTATTACCCATTGCTTTGATTTCTTGGTTCCACTGCTCATATCGTTGAAGGGTCTCTACTTTAGGTATTATTATTGAAGATTGTTTATTTGTTATTTTGAACCTACTCAGGAAGAACGCGATGAACCAACAACTCTTTCGAGAAAATAAGTGAGTTGACATGTTAAAAATAGGTTTTGTTGAAAATATCTGATAGAGTTGACGTAAACTTCAGCTCGGAGCTGAGCGAAAAATCTCAGCTGTTTTACTCTACCCAAAGTACTAGAACCGATTATAGTTTGATCGCTCGTCTGGGAGTGATGCTCAATGCATTTCTCTATGGCTCAGAAGAAGATGAACCAGACACAGACTGGGTTAAACAACGAACTGCAAATATCATTTTCCTCCTTCAAGTCATAAGGTACGCATATAACTCCCTATATTTTGTTTTTTGATAATTTTTCTTTTCCAACGAAATATATGCTTAACATTATATTCATTAATGGTTTGTAGAAGTTTGGTGAGTCCAGACAATGCAGTAAGCAACACTCACGCTGCTCAGAAAGCTATCCATCAAACAAGTCAGTATTCAAGTTTCATTCTATCTACCTTGTGGTCTTCCACATTTTCTAAATTCTCTGTTCAGAGATGCTTGCTGAGCTTTGCCGGGTTTTGCTCTCCGAGATGGGCTTACCTATCGAAGTGCTCACGGAAACAGTGATCGCTGTAGCGGAAGCTATTCGAGGAAATTATACAAATCAGGAATATTTTGCCAACACTACTCTTATCACCAATGAAAACCTCAGCCGGTAAGTCGCGATGTCAGCGTCGGTCTCTACCATGTTTTCTATTATTATTTTTGTAGAAGTTCACTTGTCGTATTGCTTATCTCCATGACAGCTGAGAAGCAACCTTTCAAAATGCGCTGTGCTGTATTTTATTGCTTCCTTTCATATCTTCACGACAACGAGTTTGGCAAAACGAAGGTATTTCGAGTTTTGATTTAATCTTTACCCGCAGACCAGGAAGAGGTTGTGGTCGCGCTATTGTTTTCCGAATAATTTGGCTGCTTAGAGTTGCCGCCAAGTAACGATTAATTTACTAAATTTCAGGATCTTTTCTGTCCTAACCGTAACTTGCAATAGGTGGCTTCATTTAATTACCGTATTTGTTTTGAGTTTTAAGGTAATCGAAACCTTGCTACCAACCAGTCAGCCGGATACCTCATTGTCAACAGGCTCGCTTATCTGTCAGGTGTGCATGCTATTTTATTCTAGGAATTCATTCGGATTGCAGTTAGGAAGCGAGTTTCCCGAAAACTATTTATGAGCTTTCAAATAGGCAGTCGATTTTTATGGGTTTCACTTTTAACTTTTTGCTTCTTTTTGCAAATGAGGTATTTTTCGAGTTTCTCCATGACTCTTAATTTTAGGCCATAACTTCGAGTGAGTCTGTGCAATGCTGGTTCGGCTGCGTATCACTTCTCTACTGTTTATTGGACGTCGAACATCTGAGGTATTTCTATCATTTTGAGGGTGGGTACGACATACTTGTGTAAGTGAGCGATGGGAATGCATAGATATCTTACTCACGCAAGTTTAGTGCTTCGATGAGCTTTCTGGTTGCTGATTCATGGGAGCTTGATTATGTCATTGGTTTAATATTTCGGTGATTCCTCTTATCAGCAATACTTTAGAGAACAACTTCTACGAGTGCAAGTATCGACAACTCTTGATCATCCTCCAGTGTTGCTAATTAAGCATGTTTCGAGTCTATTGGTAAGCTGTTTTTAGGAAAGCTGTGGTAAACTTAAAATCGAAACACTTCAATCTATGTCTTGGTCGCTATTGTGTATCTATTTTTAGGTAAGTATGGGCAATCGACGAGTTCAGATGCGTGCCGGCATCTTGATGTTGTTGTCAACATGGCTGAAAAACTGTCCATCTGCAGTAGCCATCTTTCTCGGAAATGAGGATAATCTTCACTACATGACCACACAAATTCGTATGTGTAGAAAGAGCCTTTTTAAAAGTTATGATTAATTAGGTGCGTGAGCTTCAGTTGACGACTGTGGTGAAGGGACCGAAAGTGAACAGCAGGTTCTCAAAGGCCTGATGGCTTTTGTTTTGTTGGTCTGCCTCGAGAATGTTGATGACGCTGAGCGGAAGTGAGTGTTTTTTGAAGCTTTGACCTATGCGGTTTTTCTTATCCAAGTTCAGCAGAAGATTTGAAAAAGAGCTGCTTATTAGGGATATCGATGCAAAACAGTGGTGTTGTGCAAGAAAAGGAATTGTGGAGGGAAACAGTTCAGTTAGCAATTTCAATCAGTTAATTCAACAAATTCCCATCCTCTTTAGCAACTTGACCAATGCAGAGACAAATTGAACTTTACTGGTAAGGCAGAAGAAATGTGCATGGTAAATACCGTACAAATCCATGGGATAGCTAAATAGCGCGCATAATCGTCTTTACTCAGATTACCATGCCCACTCAAGAGCGCCTTACTTGTATCCTCGTGGTTTAGCTAGTTAAAGGTGCGACTTACAGGTCATCCCTGGAACAGCTCGTTGAACGACGAGTTGGTCGAGATACTGTGGTTGGAGCTATTGAAGGATTGTCACGAACGGAACAGTTCGTTCGCGCTGCTCAAAAACCTCAACCGCTCACAAAAATACCAAACGAGTTATTCTTGGACTATCATTTCATCAAAATGTTTAAGTCATCTGAAGGTAAGCAGCGGTTCTAATTCAGTAGTTTTCTCTTCAATTTCGTTTTCGGATTCATTGTACCACTCTCTTACAACTGCTTTTTTCAGTACAACTCATTAAAATGTTACGACCCACAGGTGAATTTAACGGGACAGCTTCAAATGACAGCATTATTCAATCATTCAAGGTTTAGTTGAGCCAAACTTTTGCTAACTCTTCGATCCTTTCAAGGAGAGTCTTCCCATCCGATTGTCCTCGTTAAATATCCAATTAAGGATCTGATCAAACGTCAGGATGAAGAGATAGCGGTTCTCAAGCAGGAGGCAAAGCGATCAGCTGCTCAAATCGAGCAATTGAAGCAAGCGGTAAGGGTTTCTGCTCTTGATTCAAGAACATTAGTACAGAGACTCCCAGTACGTCTAATGGCAACATTTTCATTTTAGAGCGATAAATCGGAGTTAGAGCGTGAATTGGAGATTACAAAAAAGAGTCTAGAGGAAAGCCGTGCTCAGAATGCGAAGGCGGATGGGATGCAGCTTCAAATACAAGAGATGTATCGGTATGTACAGATAGATTATCTTAATTTGTTAATGTTTTGATCTCATGAATGTATCGCGAGTTTCTGAAGCCTGTTCCTTCAGTGTTAACGAACAGTGGCGTGGTGAGGCTGCGAAATACAAGCAGTGGGCGGAGCAATGGCAGCAATATCAGATCGCACAGGTGCAGCAGTTACTTTTAGCTGGCCAGAAGGGAAAGCATATATTGCGAACACTTCATTTCTAACTTAGTCATCTGGTACACGACAAACCTTTTAATGTGTTTTCGATTAATGAAGACACGGGATATCATAATTTTCTCTTGTAAGGCTAGTCAAAACATCTGGTCCTCCAGTTTTTGCTAAGTCATGCGGATTTTAAAGCGACTTTGAATGAATAAAACTAGAACCCTTAGTTATTTCGTTTTTATGGGAATTTTCCAGCTTCCGAATCCTACCGAAACTGCTGTCCAATATCTTCAGCAACAAGTACAACAACTGGAGCAGCAACTGGCATACGGATACCAAGCTTTCGAAGAACATTCAAAATCTGTGCGTTTCCTAGCTCCCTCCCAATATACCAGCCTACTGAAAATCTTTCAGACCGCCAAGTATGCTTCTGACTGTGCCGAATGGAAGCACAGAGCAGAAGTGGCTGAGGCCGAGCTAGCCAAGGAGAAAGAAGCGAAAAGGCAACAAAATGCTTTGCATAATGGGGAAAATGGACTATCGGTACGTGAAATTTGTGTGTGTTTTTTTTATTCAAGAGTTTTTATACTTCTGATTTGATAAAACACTGACCTACTGCTACCAGTGAAAAATTTAGTGAATAAGAGGGCAAAATGATGTTTTCCTTTTCACCCCTGAAAAGAATCTAGTGATTAGCTATAGGCAGTTCAAGAAGCGTTGTTCATGGAGCGCTATATTAGAAACTTGCCTTGAAGAGGTTAACGTAGGAATGAGCCTGTTCTATGTTGCTAATATGTTGATTTTCTCCCTATTACCAGTTCCCAGTGATTGTGATTCTTATTGATCTTTCCTGTTCTTCCAGGAATTGGCCACGCTTAAAGCAGAGCAGGAAGATCTGCTTGTACTGTTAGCTGACCAGCACAACAAAATCACGCAGTATCGTAATCGACTGAAAGATCTTCATCAAGTTGTGACTGATGAGGAGGATGATTAAGTTGTTTTTGTTATGTTATTGTTATTCCAGACAAAGTTCTATATCTCTCAAAAAGCTCACGTGTTTAATATTATCAGTCTTCCATTCTTTCTTCTTCTTCCAACTGTTTTATAGTTAGCCTCCTTTCTTGTTATCCATATAGGTTCTTTAACCTAGGAATGGATTTTGTTTACAAAATTTTCTTGTGATTTGGAAGTGGCCGGTTTAGATGTTAGGTTATGTTTATCGCAAGGGTCCCTCAGCTCGACCTTTTAATTTCAAAAGTATTCTTATATGGTAGAGGATTACGCGGATTCCAGTATAGGATTATTCCATGAGTTAGATGTAAAGAAGTAGTTCTGAGGCACCGGTCTCATCAGAAACTGGATGAGAGTTTGATGATCACCCATTTTTGCAAGGATAGGTCCGCTTTTATAGTGTTGTGCAATATGCAATCCATTTCTCGAAAAACTCACGTGAGTAAGGTCATGGTCATGCTCGGTTGTAGGGTGGCTTGTGGAAACAATGTCCATTCCCCTTCCACATATATCATTTGCTTCTGAACAGACCAAGAACATCGGTCCTTCGATGGTGCGATTGTGTTAACTCATTCCTATGTGATCATAAGTCTACTTGTGCAGCTTTCAGCAATAACGTTCGAGCCAGATGTTAGGCAGGGTTCGAACTTCACAAACTAGCCATTATCTGGTTTCTATCAGTGTTTCATCGCGGATCATGACTGGTTACGTGTTGTATAACTTCGAAAGACCCCGGGAAGAAGCCCAAAAAGGACCAGAGAACTTTTCTCGTAGCAGCCTCATCAGGTCTGAAGAGCACTGATCAGTATTAACTGTCAAAACCAGATTATGGTAGAAGAGTTAGAAATTCTTGGGCTCATTTTGAATTTTCCCAGTATTTCATTCTATAAACTTTTTGGTGCTTGGATGTTATACAACAATGAGGATATGAATGCCATGAGATGTAGAATTTCGAAATATTTGATCTTATAGTTCAATCCGTGAATAGAAACACGTCCTAATGGATTCAGTGCATGTTGAATCGTATATCTGTGATGGTGTGGGTTTGGTCGAGATACAGCTTCAATTATTTTGTATTTATTACGAAGTCTTGTATGTCTTTTTTGAAATGATTTGAATTAAAGTATCAAAAATATGCTCGTTGTTTGTTGTGTTGTTGAAATAATATTCAGATCATCATGTAATGGTCGCATTCATAGTACCGGCGACAAGACGCCGATGTCGGCGCTGGCCGTCGATCGATACTTCGCAAGTCTTGTTGCACGGTGCGAGCTCATAGCAAACGGATAAAAAGGATGATTTGGGTGTGACAATTTTGTTCGCCAACAAATTATAAAATATACTTTTTCCAGGAAGTTATTCTAGCCTAAGGAATGTTTACTTGAAAAATGAAGTGTAAAAAGCGTGATTGCAATTTCCGTAGAGATGCTCACGGTCTGTAACCGTCTAGGTGTCTCTCACTGTGCGTACTATTTGTCGGCGTTGCCCAATGACGTTTGTGGTGCAACCGTTAATTTATACACCGACGTGATCTGCTTACGAAAACAAGAAAAGCCCTGAGCAGCAAGAGTCTCATATGGTCGAGAACGCAGAAAATTGGCAATCGTCATTAAAATGTGGTGAGATCGTGAAAGGCTGAAATGCATATCTTCCCAGTCCTTGATGTGGGTCAGGAGATGCCACCGCCGTGGCCTCGATTTCACCTAATCCACGAATAGGGCGACGCGCGGATGACGCATGTCCACAGTTACGATTACCTATACATTTCTTCAGGTTCAGCAGATGGCTGTCACCAGCTGAAATGACCTTATCGTTGAGTTTAACGTAAAGAATTCGCTCGAACCATTTGCTGAGCAGTTGTGCTGCTTATCTAACGTTGCATACTCGATTGAACTAAACTTATGGTTCTTGCCTCTCCCCAGTAAATAACGAAGTAAATCCTGAGCCATAAGTACAGCAGTAAGTTACTCTACCCGCAGTCACCGTGAATATCAACATTACCAACAAGTAATTAACTATAACAGCAATAGAAATTGCAAATACCTTTCTAAAATGAGAATCGAACGCTGGCATCTTCGATAGGGGTTGATAAACAACACTGAATACTGCTCAACGATGGTCATGGGTTCTCAATACGGTGATAAATGGTTCCATTGGTACCGATCTCGGACGGACAACTGGAAAGACAACCATAATTTTCATTTCGGCCTTACAAAAGTCGATTAAAACTGATCAGTAACCTATACTTACCTCTTCCTCTTCTTAGTAAACCCTGATTTCAAGCGTGATCATCATAATGAACACGGCCAGGAATGATCTACAGATCAATACCTCGTTGTGACACAGTCGCCCTTTTGTTTTTCAAATATTTGAGTTCTTTTCCATGTTACTAATTTCATCCTTCTCTATCTCTTTTTTTTCTGTGGTCCCAATGGTTCCTCATAATTCTTCAGAAATAACTATTATCGAGAATGTCCTCAAATGATGACGACTACCGTTGGAATGTTTTTCGTTCACATAAGAGGGCTGCAACTGAAACTCCTTCACTAACACCATGGATGATCACTTCCCTGCAAGCAACAAAGGCAAGTTTCCATAGATATAATTTGTTCACAGTCGTCCCATCAAAATGTTCATATGGTGGGAAAAAGTTGCTGACGTTTGGTATACTACATTTACAGTAACCTTACTATCGGAGTGTGTTCGAGTTTGGTTTTTTTTCAAGTTTCTTTTTGATTTGAAAAGCTGAGTCAGAAATCGGAGTCATCGAAGTCAAAAATTGTTATACTTGAAGTTACTCATGAGCGGAAACGTGATGAATGTAAGAACTGATAGCATGTAATCATGGTGTGTTACATTTCAGCTTCTTCTTTTCCTCATGTGCAACACGTTTCTAACGCTTGGATCGGCTATTTCGAAGATTTGCGTTCTAATTCTTGCCACAAACATCTGGGACAGAAAGTACCATACGGATCCCTACGCACGAAGATGTTCGAGGATTCCCGGTAAGTAATGTTTTGCGCTTTGTTCCTACCATTGATACCTTTGACTATTACACGCCCAGACCTATTTATGGATGAGGTGTTTGATACAGTATCTGAGAAACCGCTGCTTCACCGCTTATATTTCCTTTCTTTTTCCCTTTCTATTCCTTTTCTTTCAGTTTCCCATACTTAGGAATAATTTCAGTACAACGTACTCCGAGAGGAGTTGCTGCTATGTACCTTGCTTTACTGTTCATTCAAGCAGTACCAGATGTGGTGGCAATTTTAAGGTCTTTGATGCGCTTCTATCGCGGTGACAGAGCTGGTCGAGTAAGACTGGTTGTAAGTAGACTCTTTTCATTTGAGAGGGAACAGTGAATCTTCATGTGAATGGATTCCTGATGGAACCTTTTCAGTTTGTTGTGTTAGAATTTCTCCGTGCCTTGGGGCTATCCTTACTGATTTTTACCGTATTTCCACAACTGGATCTGTATCGGTGTTTATGCTTATGTGCCTGTTTCCCCATCATTACTGCACTACAAAAACTTTTGTCCACTATATCAAGAACATTCAAACCTGGCCGTTCCTTTGGCGCAAGAATGTGTAAGGGAAACAGATTTGTTCGAGATTGTCCTTCTCCAACATTTCTTGATGTTCTATCTTATTTTCAGTTTTATCGACGACCACATTACCTCATCTCATCTTATTCCTCGCACTTTTTAGTGCTACTTATTTATGGAACGTTATGGAAACGCCATTCCACGTCAGTTCAATAGAAAGAAGTTTCTCTGTCCAAGATAACAAGATGAGCTCTCAACAAGGAGCGCATCATATTGAGAACCTTCAAGCGCTGAGAACTCAATTCAGCTTTTCTTTTTCCAGAAATGAGCTGCGACAAATCTTTTCTTTTCAGGGAGTTTGGGTCTTACCGTTCGGCTTGTTTGCCATTTCTATTGGATTTTGGGAATCGTGGGTGTCCGAAAATCACGCAGAAACCACGTTCCATGAGCTCTACCAGGTTCGCTGTTCAGAGTTGTTAGCGAAAGAGTCAGAAGCAATCGTCAAGCCCTTTCCTCGAGGCAAGACGGTTCTCAGCAATTCTTCAAAGAGCAAATTCACGATACTGACTCAGCGTGCACTGCATTTAAGACTAATTTTTCGCTAGATATGTGATATAAGGATTCTATTTCTCTTTTCTTTCTGTCTGTCTGAGTTGATCTATTACTGGAACTTCTTGACTGCTTTTTTATTGGCACTTTTTTCCTACAGGTGAAGTATGGTCTGCGTAAGCTGAACATTTCAACCCGTCTGCTGATAGCTATCGTTCGTATAATCACTGTGCTGGTTGTGATGATCTATGCAGCAAAAGGAAGGGTCAAGCCGTACCTGTTCTTTAATGTCCTTACATCGTACAGTTACAGTTTTAGACAAACGTAAGCCTAATTTGTAGTGACCATTAACATAAGGGCAGAAATATGAACGAATTACAGACGGTTGCTCCTAATTGCCTTCGGAATGATCCTGTTGAACTTTTCTCTTCGTGGTTGTGCCCGTTTCCTTGCTGCAATTGGGATGCGTGCGTTTTCCATTTTCCATCCTGTCACTATCGTGCCGGCTGTGGGATATGCAATTATTGCCTTCATTTGTAATCATAAAATTTGTGGAATTGCTAATGTAAGTTGTTCCGAACATATCCTGCATGCGCTGTCTAAATTTTTTGACTATATTGTAGTTTTTGGCGAGATTGGGCCTTCGATGGAGTTGCGATCAGTGGGGAAGAAAGACTCGGCCATTCGATGATTGGTACATCTGTATGATTTGGCTAGCGGTAGGCGCCTATCGTGGATATCAGTTCGTACACCAAAAATCCTACGACAAATGTGATGAAGTGTAAGAGGGCTTGTATAGAGACTATGGCAATGTTTTTGCTTGTCTCTGGAATCTTTTTCAGAGTTGATTCAATGCCCCCGGTACCCAATGGATTCTGTATAGAACAATCACTTGTTGTGTTCCATATCTCGCTCAGTAACGCGGTAAGATTATGCATTATCATTGAGAATTATTCACTATTTATTATTGGTAATCCTGCTTAGGAGCCAATATTTGATATCGACGATGATCATGGGGATCCTTATGATGAATTGATAGTAAGAAATGATGAGGTATGTTTCGGTTGTTGTTCATTCTGTTTGGACTTCGATATTCAACATATCACATTCATCAAAACAGGTTGATAGCACGCTAACCTTGTACATGTGTGCAACAATGTGGCACGAGACGGCTACAGAAATGGCGCAAATGTTGCGTAGCATATTAAAGTTAGTTGTGATACTATTAACAAAGCGACCTCCTCATAAATATCCGAATTTGCCTGGTCGTGCTGGAATGCATGTTTTAAGGTTGGACGGGGAGCACGCACGTAGGCTAGCAGCTAAGAAAGCAGATCAATTACGTTTTAAACTTGAAGGTACAATTTTTTAAATGGTTTTCTGTATTACGGCTTTTTTTTTCTCTGTTATATTATTTTTTATGTTTTTTCCTATCCTATCTGATTGATGCCAATCGTGGTTTGTTCACAGGTCACATATTTTTTGATGATGCATGGGAAGACCGCACAGAGCTGGGTATTACAAAGCGAGTCCCGAATGATTTCTTCCGTACATTCTTTGACACCCTCAGTGAATTGACTGGGTGAGTATTTAAGTTTTGTTGGTCTAAGAGATAACCGGTTGTTCATAGATCGTTGATCACGTTGAAATTACTGTTTTTCAGATAATTAGGCTTACTTAAAATTTTACAAGCAAAAAAAGTTAGGTCAGGCCTAGATAAAACTTCATTACTTTCCAGTAACCAGAAAATATGTTCGTTTCTTCTGGTCACTGTTGATGTTCAATCTCACAATCAAATGACAGGATATCGGTGATGTCTAAGGCTATTTTTCTAGAGAGTTCGTTGATGAATCTGGCTCAATGATGTCAAGGATCCTAGTCAATACTCCGTACGGTGGCCGGCTGGTAGTGAAACTTCCAGCCGGTACGTTGCTGTTTGTCCATCTCAAGGATAAGAAGCTCATCCGACATAAGAAGAGATGGAGCCAGGTCTAGTCTTCTTCTCTACAACGTTTCATTATTGGTTGGCTTCACTGATAAAATACAGTAACGCTGATGAAACATAGAAATGTTCATACGAGCCGTTTATCTAAGGTCATGTACATGTATTACTTGCTTGGCCATCGTATCATGGATTCACCACTAAGCATTGAAGATCGTCAGCAAATGGCTGACAATACCTTTATTCTCGCAATTGATGGAGATTCAAAGTTCGAACCGGAGGTAAGCTGCTAGTATACGCTGTATGTTCGGAAAGTTATTACATCTTGCTTTGGATTTAGGCAGTGATGCGTTTGCTGAATCTCATGAATACTAAGAGTGACATAGGATGTGCTTGTGGCCGTATTCATCCTATCGGTTCAGGTATTTCAATTGGAAAATAAAACCCATTTGAATTATAGGGTCACTTTGATATTTCGCGGTCTGGTGCGTTCCCTCCAATTTTTGATATTCTCTTCTCCAGGTATTATGGTGTGGTATCAAAAGTTCGAATACGCTATAGCGCACTGGTTCCAGAAGGCAGCCGAGCACGTGTTTGGCTGTGTACTATGTGCTCCTGGCTGTTTTTCGCTGTTTCGTGCCTCAGCCCTTATGGATGATAATATCATGCACAAGTGAGTTACGCTTTTTAAAGGGGACATTCCCTAAGACAGCAGTCAGCCGGCTGCAGCTGGCGATGGGTTGATCTTAGGTCTCAACAGTTATGCGGCATCGTGGCATTACTCGCACTTTTTATTACCGCTTTTCATCCAGGTATACCAAGACTGCACAAGAACCTCGGCACTTTGTACAATATGATCAGGGAGAAGATCGATGGTTGAGTACTTTGATGTTGAAACAAGTGGGATACCTATCAAACCACTGTCACTGAGCAATGCTGACCTTAAAACGATAATTCAGGGATACCGCATCGAATATGTGGCTGCATCGGACGCTGAAACTTATGCTCCTGAGGGATTTGAAGAGTTTTTCAATCAACGAAGACGCTGGACTCCTTCATCTATTGCCAATACGATCGATCTGCTCTCCGATTACAAGGTTTGAGGGAGATCAGTGCCATTTAAAATTGGCAAACTATTTGAGGCTGACCACATTGCAACTGTGACATATTCGAGTAAGATAAGTCATGATGTACCGAACTGGTGAGCCTACAGTTGTGTTTCTAGAATAAATAGTAACGGCTCAATAATAGTAGCTGCTTATGAGTATCAGCCTCTCTAATTTAATGGTGAACCTAGAGGTCCTAAGAATGGCAAATCTTCGCCTTATTGCTGTTTAGACTGGTTGTGCTCGCTACACTAATGATACTTTTAATGGTACTTTTGTGAGACCTTTTAGAGAGCATCGGAAAACAACGATTCAATATCAATGTCCTACATTTCGTATCAATTTATGGTGATCTTCTTCTCAATGCTTGGACCGGCTATCATTTTCACTATGCTTGTATTTGCGCAGGTTAGTCACAACAAAACCCGTTACTCTTTCACTCTACCCTTGAGAAAGAATCTTTATTGAACTTATCACTTATCATAGAAATATCACTTTATTAGCTTTTTTATGAAGAAATAAAGGTAAAAAGGATATAAGAAAGGAGCTGTCGCATTTCCAAGCTTCCTTCGTCTAGGTAATTATTCAGTGTGGTTCATCGCTGAAGAATAAAATCACGTGAAAACGGTTTTTAGAATTTTGAATAGTTTTTTAGGAGTAGTTAAGGAGTTTGGTATGTTTTATGATCAGTCATAGGGAGTTCTATTCGTGTAGAGTAATGCAAAACGGACTGCCTCCATGCGGGATCGAACCGCAGACCTTCTGTTTACAAGACAGACGCTCTGCCACTGAGCTATAGAGGCGCGGCAGGGGAGTCTGGACTGCCCTTTAAGTGAGTTACTGCGGTGCATCTCAATATGCTACTGCAACAAGATCACAATCGGTACATTTTGGAAAGTCACCTACTATTTGATGTATCGGGCATTGAACGATAGGCACCCAAAGAAAATATCAGGAATAGAGATTGTAAAAATAACATAAAAGTGCTCTTCCTCAATAGAGTCGCCCCTCTCTAATATTTTCCCTGGAGCTGAAGCAACAGGCAACACTCACCATGTTCTGTTATGAACTTTTCTGGAATGAATTTCAGTCGAGTACGGACTTTGAATTCCTACTTAGTGAGCAAAAATGAATGCCTCCATGCGGGATCGAACCGCAGACCTTCTGTTTACAAGACAGACACTCTGCCACTGAGCTATAGAGGTCCGCTAATCGTTTAAGCCATACATGTTCGCAAATTGATGCGCTATTGAACATGATATGTACACAGGCGGTGATGCTCTCGGCAAATGCTCGCGAGAGAGGATTGAGCCATGAAGCGCGCTGGCGCCTTATTCTGGTTTTACTATGTGTATCTGTTTATTTAATGAGTATTAACTCATTCGCCAGCAAGTATACAATTTGTCTTGTTCTATATTTTACAGGTAGCTGCATTTGGTGTCGATTCGGCCAAAGTGATGCTGTACAACGGGATTCCGATCAGTTTATTCATATTGATATGTTTTATTACAGAATCTAATGTACAGCTTTTATATGCCAAGGCGAGTTCAAAATTATGGGGATATTAAAAATGTCATGTTCTTTTGTTTTCAAGGGAAATCATTTTTTTCACAAGCATTAACAAGCTTTCGATTAAAAACCGATTTTCAGTTAATGTCCATCATCTATGCCTTTGTAATGCTTGCAGTTTTGGTTGCAACGTCTTCACAGATAGTGTTGGAAAGTGAGTTTCAGCAGTTCCGGTTGATAACCTGCCAGAATCAAATTAATTTTGTCAAATATTAGAATATTAGCGTTTTGGGCAGTTAATCACAAAAAAAACAGGTCGCCTCAGATAATTATAGCAATCAAAAATCTCGCGCGGTGCATTCGCAAGTCATTCAGCTGCGAGCCAATTCTGCTGTGATTCTTGCGACATCGACGCCCTACTCCCCCTCCCCCCCCCCCCCCCCCCCCCCCCACCTCAGTTTGGAGGACCCATGTGCTATCCCGAGTTGGCCTACTTAAGCGAGTTTGGCAAGCAAATAAAATTTTTCCTTCTGAGCCGAGTACAGCCGGACAGCCGGTGGGTATTTCACCGCGTGAAGTTTAGCCACTCGAAAGGTGTGAAGGTGCTCGTTGTGCTCGTTCACGCTCGAACTCATTTGGCAGTGTTTATAGTTTTTTTTTCGTTTTTTTTAAATAAAGAATCACACACTGCTTGTTTTTCTTGATTACTATTTTCTTCAATTTTCATAGATTTTTTTTTATTTTTTCTTGATTACGTAGTTTCTCTTTCTGGCAATGCTCTATCTTCATTTAGCTGTGATCTCTCCAACATCAATGTTCATCGTGGCTATGGTTCTCATATTCTTTATTGCCGCTTGTTTGCATCCAAGGGAATTCACGAATATTATATACGGTAGCATAGCTAAAAAGATGTAATGGTTTGAAATCTTTGGAATTGTAATCTCCTCACCTTCTCTTAAGGAATCGTGTTCTTCCTTATGATTCCATCAACATACGTATTTTTGACACTATACTCACTTATAAACCTGAATGTAATCAACTGGGGAACACGTGAAGCAGTTGCGAAGGCAACAGGAAAGGTATGTGGGATATTCCTCGAGGGTCTTTTCGGGGTCGGGTGGAGCACTTTCTGACCTCTCTCACAGTCTTTGGAAAAAAAGCCTTCTTAAGGTCGAAACTACGTCAACCTTCGAACGCTGGCTCCGTCGTATTGGCGAGAGTTCATGGTCTGCGTTATGTCCAGCACTTCGTGCCAGACCTGATGAAGGGATGCAGTTGATTGAGAGGAAGCTAGAACGGCTGGAGCGATCAGTGGCCGAATTGCATGTGAATAATCATCATGTTTGCTTGTTTTTACTATGAAATGGCCCACTTGAATAAAGGATTCGATTCTGAAACTTTTAGAAAAACGATGAAGACAATGAGAAGGCAAAGGAACGACTGCTGAAGATCGCCAAGGACATGGATGATGCAGCAGGCACAAGCGATGTAAGCATCGTAACGAATGAGCATCATTCTCTCCACTTTAGCTTTGTGAGAATTTCTTTTTAGATCGTCGAGATTCGACGTCCAATCGTGGAAGCAAAACCTGTTCGTTCAATGGACAAATACATGTGGATGGAAGGTGACTATTTGCAGGTTCGTTCCAGTGGTGAATTCGTTCCTTTGCTTGCATGAAACCTGAAAAGCGCACGGTTTCTATGAAATTTGTTGGAAACCGAAGCTAAATTCATGTGGTTCAATTTCATTGACGTCTATGGTGTGTATGGCATTGAAGGGAGATATGACGGGATCTCTACTTGGGAGTGCAGGCGATATTAGCTGGGCAAAGGGGAACATGTAGAGGGGTGAGGTGTTTCAAAGGGCTTTCTTTACATTTTTGATGCGCTGCGGCCAACTTCAGAGTACACATTACGAATAGCACATCGAGGATCAATTTTTTTTTTCAAAGCAGAAACAAAAACTCTTTGAAAGATTTAGATGTGCTGTCTTTGCTAGAACGGGAAACTTTGTATAGGTATGTGAACGTGGTCGTCTCAAGGGAGCTGAAGAGAAATTCTGGATCCAACTGATTGAAACTTATTTAAAGGTCAGTTATTTTTTGATTATTAGTTTTTCAAATAATTTTAATAATAATTTAGATTTTTTTTGAATATTTTCGAGAATTTCAGCCGATCGAGTCATCGCCACAGCAGCAGAGCGCAATAGCGGAAGGCTTAGCGTCGTTACGTAATAATATCGCCTTTGCCATTATTCTCCTTAACGCTCTTCTCGCTCTTGCCATTTACCTTATACAAAAGCACAAGAATGTGCTAAGTATCCGCTGGACACCTTATCGTAAGCCAGCTCCTCCATTTTTCATCAAATTAAAAACACGAAATTTATAGGTTAACTTTAATTCCTCTCCTTAGGGAATTTCAAGTGGACGAAAATGAATGAACTGACAGGCCAATATGAAGAAACCAAAGACCCACTCAAAATTGATCCCCTGGGTATGGCAATCATTGTGTTCCTACTTGGAATCCTCATAGTTCAAACAATCGGTGAGGAATCCAAACAATCGGTGAATTTTCAGTGGACTTTTGCAATGCATCTGGCAAGCTCGAAGTGTTCTCTTCAGGCATGCTCATTCACCGTTTGAACACAATGATAGGAGCGTTCCAAGAAGTGAACCAGCTTCATGATCTGGTGCCAAATTGGAAGTCAAAGAAAACTGACGATGAACGCATTTTAACTGCTGGTTAGCAGGTTCTATAGGGATGACACGAACAACCCTGATGATTTAAATTCTGTGGGATTTGCACTTATGAAGAAGGAATTTGCACTTGTAAAATGTAAAAATCGAGTTATTAGCACGAGGAGTTGGGATTTATTATTTCAGCTCGTCAAATGACCGACACAACCTCATACGCCCTCAGTCATGGAGCAGATGGCTATACTAGACATCGTGAACTTGATAGAGATAACGAAACAGTGCTCTACAAACTTCAACGAGCTCGTCTGGCAAAACGAATGCAAAAAGCGGAAGCTAAGAATCAGGCATGATAGTAAAGATGAAGTAATGTAAGAAAGAGTGAGAGATTCATAGGGCATTTATTTTCAAAATTTTTACTTTGCCTCATTCTCTAGTTGTGAGATAAGGATTCTATGCAATAATAGTTACAGTTAAAAGGGCGTGGCTGAACCTCTAGTAGGCCCCGACATTAAAAAAGGTTATTAAAAGAATTCTCCTCGCCAAGAACTGCCAAGAGCGTTGGATAAAGAGTTTCTAGTGATGCTTAGGGGTCCATATAAGCTTTTTACAAAATTATATTGCCTATTTGGAGCCTTTCGGAGTAGTGGAAAGAATGTTTTCGACAGTACTAGAGCAAGTATTTCGAGTCAATAGAACCCAGCCGCCCACTTTATCCCATCCCAATTGGGTGAAAATGATTGGTATACTTGGGTCACATTGTGACAGCGGGGTAAGGTTGGCTATCGGCCAACTGGTTCACCTCACTGCATTCTGCGACTCAAGCATACTAAACCTGTTCGTTTTATACGTAAATGTAATTTCTAAAAATTTGCCAATTCAGCGGCACTTCATATAATATCTTTTGTTTGTTTTTCGTTCGATTCGTGTGAGTACACTACCCGTACAGTGTAGATCTAAGGCCTGGCTACTTCGCTCTACATGAGGTTGTGTCAAAGATCTTTCGCTTTTCAAAGGCTTTGGGCATTAGGTTTTATTCTTTCAGATTTCGGGACAGCTGAACTCGAGTTTTATTTTGTATTGTTTATTGATCAGCCTACTAGAGATATACTTTTCTCTTTTGATAGCAGGAATTGTGAACGGCCACTTGAATCTCCTTTCAAAATAATGTGATAACCTTGTTCCGGTTTTCTTGTCATTTTTTTTTCTACTATGTGCTTTTAGTTCATAATAAAGTTATTTATTTTTTTCCGAGGTCAGAGTCATGAAGCGGTTTGTAGACAGTCCTAATCATATTCAAGGCATTTTGGTCAAGCGTGATCCACCCAACGTTTCAAGCCGGGTTTTTGGAAGGGGGATTCACACAAATGGTCATAAAATCGGGTCTCATCGAAAACAAGTTTTGATTCGAATTTTATTTATTTATTTCCTTCCCAATTGTTAGAAGTTATGGGCATTGAAGGAATATCCTAGTCAGAACTAACGAAGAAGATGGTCATGCTGGAGGTCCGGCAGGATTTTCAGGAAAAGTCGCATAATTTCACAGAGGGTCTAGCAAAGCTCGTTCAGTGATCGAAAAAGTGGCGATCGAAAACCCGTCATAGCGCCGGGAGCGATTTCTCGGAGAGTCTCGACGAACCCGTCTAATCATCGTTCTCATCAGCCAAATGCACTCGCTAGTAGCTTCTTCGGATCTTAATGTCTATCTGACTGATCGATTACTAACTTGATATATTGATTATTCTGATAGTCTATCTTTAATTATTGTTGAAATCATCCTTACCAAAGGATCTGTAATAACTTGTTCCTCGAGTACGGTTTATAGAACTTGCTTTCAGCATTTCCTATCGTACCTGCTACCGGTACTTCACTGATTTCTAAAATGCTAAATTTGAGCGTAGTAGCTTCCCTACTAGCCATGGTTACGGTCGTCAATGCATGTCATCCACAGTTTGAAAAAGAACTGCGATATTTGGATCTTTATTTGGGAGTGCAACCGGATAATGACGGGGAAATCCCGTCGAAAGGTAGGCTTGAAGTTTTGCAATTGCTTCTTCCCTTACCCACAAGAAGGTTATCCAATTTTGTAGATGCTGTTAACATAGCCACGAGACAGTGTCACCAGAATAACTACACGTACAAGTTCATCCTCATACGAAAAATCTTACATACCGAAGATTGACTGAATTGTCAAGGCTTTGCTGAAATCTATGGAATAGGGATTCGCTTACTTACTCCCTTCATGACAAGTCACGGCCTTATCATCCGGTCGAAGAGCTAGGGGCACCTGTGTAGACCCAAATGCCCAGTTATGGTCAGAATGGATAAAGTGACCACTCTGGGCGTACCCAGTACCAAGCAATCTTCTTTCGGACCGAGATTTTGCTGAATTCGTATCCCATGTGTTTCGAATACATAACAGTAGAGTAGTGGCAGCTAGCTTATACATATTAAGGCATGAATTTCACCTGTCGAGGTTAATCATTTCTGGTTTTAACCCACATTGGGTCTTCATCAGTAGCCGATTTAAGTGTATACCTTGAAACCGGAAAGTTTCGTTCCCGTGGAACCGAAAGTTATGTAGTAGTTCTTCATAGACAAGGAGATACTAGTAACTTCCCATAATTTCAATCCCTTTTTCAGCAAAGATTCAATAGAATCAAATAAAAATTCCTGCTGCAGTTGGTACTATCCGTTTCGGTAAGAATGAGCCACGCATTTGATTTCACTCCCCTAAAATAGTAATGGCGGTGGGTAATGAGTGCCTTATTTACCCATTAAACGACTCACAGGGGTAAGCCAACGGACGAGTTCAGGTTATTCCTTTCCCATTCCAGCCTGCACCCAATTTCACCGTCCAGAAGGACTGCGGAAAGCTGAGTCAATGTGTGGGCGGTATGGGATTCGAGAGGAATTCACTAGTAATCTGTGCGCGACCACATTGACGTCTTGAGATGAAAAACCATCACCACCCTCCACGATCAGAGCCGTTAAGACCCCCAAGCTAAAGCTCAGTGTTTCAATACTTAATCATATTATTACTATTCCAGATGCTTCGCAATTTGCCTCCTACATTCCTCAATCTGATGCGCTCAACTGCGATTTGGAAAGCGAATGTTTATGGAGAAATGCGCCCAGTGATGGTCTACTCGACACTTCTGATTTTTGGTATTTCAAGGTCCGTCTACATTTTTAAACTCCTACTCGGTGGGAGTGGCCCCACTCCTTTTGAGGCAGCAATTAGTTGACTATCACTGGGAGCATTTTTGTCACGATTTTCATCTAACTGATAGGGGCCGGCAAGCTCGGCAGGGTTTCAGAACTTCGTTAGTTTTAATTGACTAAGAATAAGATTTTCAGAAAACTGATGGTAAACTACTTCCGGTCCAGGTTCAACCTGGTCGAGCGGATATTGCTCAAGGTTTGCCAAGTTCCTGTTGCTTTTCTCACTGGAAAATATCACCATACAATGAATTTTGCATAAATGATAGGTTGCTAGGGAGATGAATAGTTCAGACAGGCCTTTTCACTGACCTATGGCTCTTAACCACCGAAATATGCCCATTTCTTTTCAGGATCACATTTACTGCTAGCTGGAAACACTTCGACTACGGCTGATAGCGCAGTTCTGATCAGTGCACCGATTGCTTGCCAAAGAAAACCAGGAAACCTGACATTCCAGTTTGTTCCTATTGATATTTAGATTCTCTGTTTATCTGTTCTTTTATGCATTCACTTGTTTGGACTGACGTCGTGTAGTGGCAAGTGGCGCGCATGCGGCCCGGGGATTCAATCCCGGATCGATTACTCGTCCGAACCCAATAGGCCTCCCATCCCTTCGGGGCCGGTTGGTTGGAACTATGGGAGGATAAAAGCACTAACTTGCACATCGGCTGACCATCGCCATTGAGTGTATATGCCCCCTACGCATTCAATGCGCCATTACGATTCTAAATGGAAGTCGAATGCGGGGCGCATCTTGAAAACGGAATGAACTCGTGACAAAGACTTTATCTTTGTCCTTTATCATTCGTCTATGCTGTTAAACAACGAGCACAACTTTTGAAGGGTAATGAGCAAGTCCTTGAAGGGATTAAGCCGAAAGTATGTTGTGTTCGCTGTGGGTGTTCGGGGGAGGTTGGACGTGAAGCCATGCCAACGAAGCCGAGGTTAAACTAACATTTGAAGCCGGAAGGCGGAAGGATGTGGGCGTGGGAAGAAGGTCAACTTTGACTGCCATTTAAGTGTGTGATGTGTCGGATTACCTAAAAAATTAGCTCAAGTCTTTTCTGGACTAACTGGACTATTTGGATTTCAGCTATTGGCTCTATAACAGCGGCAGAGTCGAAGTAATAGTTGCTCGAGCTACCTATCGTCGAAGACATCTACAGGTGAGTTTTTGCATTGGTAAGACAATTACGGTAGGAGTACTATTCAAATATACTGTCAAGTAAAAAACGATAGTTCCCCTCGATTCCAAGTGATGAGACAGTATTTTAGACAATATTTCGTCCAAAAATCAATTGTCACATTCTTCGACCTGGCAATGATATCTGTGTGGTGAACATACCTGCAGTCAACGAACCATTCCGGCTGGCCATCAGGGCGTTCAATCTCAAGGTAATTATTTAGCATTTACAAGACGTTACCATGAGATAATTAATTAATTAATGCGTTTGAGATACATATGAAATCTATTAGTGGATGAGAGAAAGCAGCAAAAACCCTGGTGTGTCGTTAGGTCAGTACTATACAATACAATTCCGATACGATTTCGTGACACAGGGAGTCCCATGAATCAGCTTCTGACTTTTCTTGATGGTACACACCGAAAAACCCTCCTGAGTCTAGGCTGGGAAAGGTCTAGACTGGAAAGATAGTCATATTAGGCAGGGAGCAGGCCTTTAACCTCCAGTAAGTTGCCGGCTGATCGTCCAGATGTTCAACGGCGTCCCTTGTTGACAGATATGGCGACTATTGGTCCCACGATGTGTCCCGCACTGTGGTTGAGAATTCTGATGTGAGAGGCAGCACTACACTCTCACTGGGTAGAAATGATATTCACTTTCGCTTTCCCTTCTTTCTTATCTGGCGTGAGCTCGTTGTAACCGCATCGCGACCGCGCGCATCATTTTTCTATAAGTTGTTCAGGGAAAATTATTACGAATTCCCTATTAAACATACGACTGATACAATCACGCTTTTCAGGACAATGTTGTCGGTAGTATGGTTATTCTTAAAAACATAACTTACGATGCAATAGTATGCAGCGAATCACGTAAGTCTATTACTTCAGTTTGTTTTCATCGTTTTTTTTGGGTTTTTGTAGAGGTTCTCAATCAGGATGGACTCTTTCTGGTCGATAGAATCCAATCTGAGTGATTTTCACAGCAAACGACTGAGTTGAAGTTGATGAGGAAGTTCACGAGCTTGAGGGGTTTCACTTTCTGTCTGACTGTCTCCTATTCCTCGACTCCACTATTCTAACCAGACCGAGGAGGAGTCCGGTATTTACCCAAAATCATGGCTATGACGTTTGTCTCCATCATTTCCACTACCACCTTAATTCGTATCAGACTGTCGCTTAAGTACTTTGAATTCTTGGAACGAATCAGAAAGAAAGCGTATTAGTTTGATGTTTATTATCTGATACATCTTCGAGGATATATCCTAAAAATTTTGATTAAGCCTTCCCTCTAATATTCGGTTCAAAGCCACTGCTACCGAAATCATCGAAACCGATTGAGAAACTTTCGGATTTGGATTGCGATCATCCACAGAAGAGATGCAGGTCCGTGTCATCGCGAACTTCTTCGTTTCCAGTTTTTTTTTACTTTTAGGTTGAAAATTTTAAATATTACTTCGTCAACATTCACTGCACCAAATTATTAGAGCTATTTTGGGGAACTTTAATAGCCATACTTATCTCCATTCACTACTCCCTCTATCTTTCAGGAACGGAGTTTTTACTGGTTGGCCCTTCGATTGCATTATGAGTAAAACTGTTTTTTTTTTGTAGATTCATTTTTTCTATTCGTAAACATAAAAACTAATTTAAGGAAGAGGTCCGTGAGGCTCCCTGTTCAAAAAAGGAGGATCTTGTTGTTTATATCAGAAGAAGCGCCAAATGGAATTAAAGTAAACTAATTAGACAGCTATTTAGATGGAGCAATGCCGAATCGACGGCTTCAGAATGGCGAATTGGTCGTAATGTCGAAAGATGGCACGAGCTGATGGAGGTATGCGCTTTATCTTGTTACTTCGAACAACCTCAGGAATATAGGTCATTAGGTTCGAAAGAATCGTAATGCCCTTCGAACTTAGTGGCATATTTTCTGAAAATCATTTTGAAAAATTACACTAGTCGTTCGGTGTAGCAGATATGTTTTTGAAAGGAAGCATGGGTCGCAATGAGAACGAAACCTCTGACGGATCCGAATTCTTACCGTAATTCACCATCGTACTATTACTTTCACTTGAAATGAAAGGCAATATAACTCGTACCTGGTGACATGTGACAGTAAGAATTCCTTTGCCTATGATCTGGTACCTGGAGGGCCGCACTGATTAAGGGTGGCTCTGATCGGTAGTAGTTTGAAGGCACAAGGGGACTACGGTGAGAATGTGGGGGCTAGTGAGTCTTGTGGGTTCGGGCACAGCAGTGGCGATAAGTTTTATCAACGGAACAGCATCCGTATGATAATCTTCAGGTATCGGCTCAGGACAAATCGCATCCAACGTCTTCGTTCCTGTTTCTTGCCGTCGATGCAGTTTCACCTCGACTTTATGCAAAGCTTCGTAGCGATCTGATCCCATGTACACAAGCAACAACCACACTTTCCATGAAGTTGGTTCCCTCCAATGATTCGCCTTCCTTCCACACAAACATTACTGGTTCACTACTACATCTACTCATTACTTTTCAGGTTCTGGCTCAAAGCCGGTACTCAAGTCGAAATATGTGCAGTGGATGTCGATGGCTTAGTACTAAGCTGTGCATATCTCAGCGAAGGCGATTCACCCGGACCGATTGAAATTGATGTCGACCCGTATAGTCGACCATATAGGGTACGTGCCAATACCAGTATCGGAAGCAGGTAGGCATAGTGGATTGAGACATCCTGGGTATACCAGCAGGCTAGGTAACCCACAGGAGGTCTCATTCATTATAGCTACCTGGCTTGCTTCTGAGGTCATATTCAAAGGTGGAGGCTGAACCTTGTTGATTGAGCCCCTTCAAAGGGCACATAGGTATCTAACTCATGAAGTCAGATCACAGAAATTGGTAGACTTCAGGAAATGTGCGGATAAGCCGTAAGGCAAAGGACTTGGGTCATCGGTTTGTTTTTCAGTTTACGCTGGAAATGGTCGCATTCGATGAGGCCTCGATTGGATTGGTAGCCATATCGGATATACGGGTGAAAGGACTACTGTGTAGCGAGGAACCACCTCCGATCGTCACCACTATCGATCCGCCGACCGTAAAAAACTTTTCAAACTTCTGCACTCTACTTGTGGAGCCATCTAGGCCTACTGTAACCATTGTAAACCCACCACTACCTGTTCAGATTGTCTCCTTATTTGGTCTACAACATGGTCCAGGCCCCAACGTGCCTTACTCATTAGACTTGAACTGCGATTTTTCAACGGATTACTGTAGTCAATGGGTGAACGATGACGGCCTGGTGGCATACGGTGTGGCACCGAGTAATAGCTTCAAATTTCCGGTTCCTGATGAGATTCAAGGTGACCACGACTTTTGAGCAAACATCACATTCCGAGCCTTTGAGTCTATCGAGGCGATAATTTCAGGAAATGTGGCCACATTCCTACTGGAAGGCGCAAAAGCTTCAGTATTACGGTCAAGAGAAGTGCCATGTGCTTATGGTGCAATCGTGTCGGTCACCTATATGAAGTATGAAATTTGTTGACAATTATATATCTCTGCTTTGGAAACTCGTTGCAAGGGGTACGATACCCACGGGGAAGGAATGCTGCAACTAGGTTCAGACCTCGTGAGCCTTTAGGACTCAAAAGCATCCTTGAGAGGGGAAGAATATCTAGATATGAAACTGCAGTGATCTAATTGTATGGTTAGCTTACCTACTGACCCCTCAAAGAAGCTCTTTCTAGCCCTGCCGTTTTTTGGTTGCACCCTCGTGGAAGGAAATCTAAACATTTCTATTTTGTCCCCTTTCAAGCACGGTGGATTCAATTCAAAAATGCTCCCCAGAATCATTATTTTCGCTTACTTGTTTACTTGTTTTTATCTTGGATTCATCGTTACCAATTGTATTCTACTTGTACATCATTTACTTTCTAACTTCATTGACAGATCTGAACATAGTATGGTCCGTCTCTGCGCTCTTAGCCACTGTGTAGACGGCAACACTCCGTTCGGTACAATGACAATAAATGCTACCTCTGCGGAACCATTTGAGGTAAGTATGATTTCATCGATAGGTATGAGGGCAACTGCGGTAATGTCGAATTCGTGTGATTCCTGAACTTTTCAGTTATTTTTTATTCAATAGGAATGCTTCCAGTTCAGTCTCTGTACTTGCTACTGTTGCTTGATAGACGCGTAGAGGGTCGGCTATAGTAAAAACGTTGGGGCATGTAGCATTCATGGGTAAGACCCCATACAAATCAGCTCCCCGTCATTAATATAGCCATTAAATTGCCTCTTCATAAATATGTTCTTTCCGAGTCGAGTCAGACGGACCTCTCAGTGAACTGTACTGCTTGACTTCCTGTTTAATGCAACATCTACAACTTCAAGTGTAGCTGGAATGGGCTGTGCATTTCAAAGATAACCGGGCAGATGATTTTATTCCCTCCCTTAGAGGGGCAATCACCGTTAGCCATGGGGTGGAAAGAAAACAGGCAAGAATGAAATAGCACTAATGAGGATCCCTTTTTTCGGGGCAAATGCCTAGTAAAGAAAAGTGATCCATCAGAAAGGCGATATGAGAATAGGCTATTGCCTGGTCCATTTCCTCATCACTGAATATGCCTCCTAATGAATATGAGTCACCAGATTTTATCCGTCTCCCATTTAGTTTTCCATCGAAGCTGCATCACGAAAGAATGCCATCGTTGTGATCAAGAAGATTGACGTCTACGGTGATGTCTGCACTTTGAAAACTGCCCAAGAACTGGTTTGTGATAAGCTGCGGTGTACGTTCAATGGTGAGTGATGTCCCCGAATTCATCAGGACAATAGCATGTTTCTCTGAAAAAAATGGATCGGTTTTCTCGTTATTTCAATCGAGAAATCCACCGAGACCGGCTGTTATGCAAGGGGTGTGGCATAAATTGTTTTTGGGGTGATTTTTCTTCAATACCAGGGAATGCTGCGTAAGAACGTCTGGATTTCAACAAAACTTCTTATAGCTTCGTCATCGGGTGGTAATCCTCGTTTACGACAGAAGTTCTTGAAGAATTTAGAAAACTTATAAAGCCATCACTTGTCCATCGTTTGAACATTTTGTGCCATTCAGTATTGGTTGAAAAATTCCATTGAAGTAGTTTTGGAACTTTTAACCCTCTGCTTGCTTTTTCAAAAGACGGCTACTGGTTAATGAGGATTGTTAGTTTAGAACTGGTAGATCTAGCGAGACGTCTTTTTTAAAAAGCACGATTCTGATTTACAAATCAGATCCTAATCAGTAAAACGATTTGTTCGATTTCCAGAGAATCTTTGCAAGTATGACTCGCCACTGCAAAAACAAGGTGACGTGCCACTGATCATCGGTCCAACAGGTTGGTATTGCACTACTTCCGGTAATGCTATTTTATCCGCTGGTCACTGACTGTGTACTGTTGTATCAGCTGACCCACTGCTCCCATACGTTACACGAAGAACTCAAGATCCGCTTTCTCTACTTGAAACCCGGCTCCTTCTTCCTCACCCCACTAGAAAAAGTTAAGGTTCGAATCTCCCCAACAACCGCTCATGAAGATGTCTCTGAAAATATTGCTCTGGCTGTTCCGATGAGTTGAGGAGTTGAACGCTTCTCTGAGAAGTCAATTTGCAAACAAAATGGCAAACAGCGACTGAGACACATTCCATTAGAGCCCTCCCTAAGGACCGATGGGGGTCGTTGAGTAGTATGAACCAGTTTGATCGAGTAAGAAAACTTATTTCAGGAGCAACTGCCACTCTTGGTGTTGGATCTCATCGGGCGATTCTAAGAAGCGTACGTTTTGATTTGCCATCACCGGTGATGCTGAACATCACAATTACACAGGCTACTTACGGATCACGAGTACTTCTCTGCCCAGACATCACCAGGTAAGACAGTTCACATTGCATTCTCAGTTTTTTTCCCTTTCTTTGAGAAAAAGCGGCTAGACTATCAGCTGTGTCCCAATTTTTGAATTAAAATTTCTCCCTGCAGTGAATTCGAGTCCTGTCACGAGCTTCTGGGTCCCCGAGTGGAGGAAACGATGAAAAGAACCGTAATGTTCGCTCTGGATGCTGCAGCTCACCGTTTTGCCGTCGTACTCTACCACGACAAAGCTGAACAGTTCGGTCCAGCCGATTTCATCATTCACTCTATAGATATATCAACAACGGACGATCAGAAACTATGTTGAGTCAAGAAAAAGCGTTTCAACTTTTCTAGAAACAATTTAATCAGCTAACATACGACTTTGCCCTCTCCCAGTTTCGTTTGGATGAGCTCTGTCCACAGCAAATCCATGGTTAATGGTCAAGTTATCCCAACCACCCCCTCAAACTGTTTAATTAAAGGAACGTTTGTCTGAGAAGTTAAGTTAATTGCCCAATCTGAGGTCAATCCCTTTCGCCTAGCGAGGAAAAACCTACAAATTTCGGGAACTTGTGTTTCGTTAGTTCCATAGTCTTTCCCGAAGCAACGGTTCGCAGATAACTTTCTAACCGAAACACAGATTATCTAAATCATGTACATAAAAGTAAGTGCTGTAACTAGCTAGGAAGCCTAAGAATCCAGATGCAGATCATTTTTTTGATTAAGTTTTTTTTTGAAAAAAAAAAGACTTTTCATCAATTTGGAGTTACCCGGAGTAAAAGGTAGTACAAGCGCTCAATGGATTTCAAGTTGTAGCAGGTTTGATGAGGGTGGTGTGTATACCAATCCAGTAGCATTTTACGTAAGCTTAGGTTTGGGAGTTAGCCTAACCAGTAAGCTAATTGCTGATTGGATCGAAGTTAGCATGTAGCAGTACTTACCAGTACAGATGACGTCAGTTCACCATCTTCTGATCGCTGCTCGCTCTACTATGCCGATCAGACGTGAAGGTTTTTTCTAGTTACTCTAAGACTTTTTATGCCGCCTCATAAGTTATATATTAAGTTGTTATGTTACAAATTGGGTCCAAATTTATTGTGCAATTTATATTTTATATAAACTTTATTATGCATGGTTATTTATTGTATATATAATGGAATTTCAAATAAATATGACAACTGTTCCGGAAGTGTGACGATACTATCAAAACATTGACCAAATAGAGGGGTTCCTCGTATACCTGAAAGCTGTACGATTTTGTTGAGTTGTTTGTTGTTGTTTTGCTGTTGTTTCTATGAAGATCTCTATCCCGAATGCCTCTGATCGTTTTGAGACCATTTAGATCGGCAAAAAAGCAATGAGTCTACTTAGAGTGGGAGAAATTAGAGAATCGCCCTGGCGGTCGTCAAGGTGCTCTTTTGACGTCCTTAGAGATTCAGCCAATAACTGTCCCATCCAATGGTCGACCCCAGTCCAACGGTTACAGCCCGGTGAATCACACTGCCCCTATACTATGATTACAAGAAAAAGGTTGACTTAGACGAGGTTCGATCCAACACCCAAACAAGCCACCAACAAACCCCTCCATCCATTTCTGAAATTAACTTTTTAACCCAAACCCTTCTTCGAAGCCTGACTATAAACAAGACGACAAAGGCAATTACTGGATCGTTGTCTAGCATGTCAAGTGCATGAATAATAAATCAAGGAACGGGAGCTCTTCCCCACTTTTCCGCATTTTCCCATGTTAGGACTGCCCCGTTCGAATGTAATGACCAGAATTGTTTCAAAAAACTACCTTATATCAACGCACCAGAAACTTTTTCATTTTTTATTCGAATAAAGATATATTTAAAATAATAATGGAAAAAACACTTCACGCTACCCCATACACATTCTGACACCCAGATATCCCCCAACAGAAGTATTTTCGAAAGAAACAAGCAAATAAAAAGGATACTAGGGAAAATAATTATACTGTAACCTCAACTTTGCTGTCATATGGTACACGTACAACGAGGAAATTTCTTACTGTTGTCGATGGTAACTTGTGGCTGATCATACAATGACAAAGCAACAGAGCATGCATAGACATAGAAATGAACGAACCACGAATAAGGAAAGAAAGAGAACGTTACTATTACAATATGCGCGAAGAAAACCGATATTCTGGTATACGTACAACGCTCACCACCGTTTGGCACAACTATGAAATCACTGGCTTGTTCTCCTCGGATGGTGTCGCTGCATGACTTCCACCTCGAGCTGCTCCTGCTAGATGATCAATAGAAGTCGATGCAGCCATCTTCGCCTGAAAAACTCGGCAAGTGAGTAGAGTGAATTTCAGAAAACCCGAGGATTTTATGGGAGATCACTGATAATGAGTAATCTATTTCAAAACTACCTTCAGAATAACCAATAAGAAGAAATATGAAAAACTATCATTCACAACTTTGACTCATGAATATCAAACCATTTTCGACCAAAATATATCACTGGAAACAACAACAACCACGCTGATGAAGCCACTTGGTGGTTGAACCCTAACTAGTTACAATAGCAGTGTAAACCCCAAAAGAAAAACACGTCGTGCCCCCTCATGATCTCATTCAAATGCATGCCACACATGCATTTCTAGGAAAAACACTTAATGCGCATTTCAGATTTCAAAACGTAAATCATTTCCTTTCAGTCAACTTCTACCTCCAGGCAACCAAAGCAGGCTTTACGGATGGAATAAATTTCTTTTAAAAAACGTATCGTAATAAGAACGTTTTGTATACGCGCTTGAGGCCTTAACATTCAGGCTGGACGCGGAAAGACTGGGGTTCCACTACGGGAACGGAAAAAAGGGAGCATAGCTAGGAAGCACAGATTTGGGTTCAGAACCCTCCGGAGCCCAACATTCTGCCAACAACCTAGAGCCTTTAATCCCCGTGACAGTGCGTGAGTGTGAATGTGTTGGAGAAATGTATCGTTAGAATTCCATAAAACCACTAGTCTATGGGTGAAATCCATGACGTAATGGGGCCATCAAACTTAATTGCAGGTAAAATTCAGAATGTCATTCACTGCATAGCTTCATGCTGCAATAAGCAAATGTCCCATGAAGTCAAATTAAAACTCAATTGCATCCTACGCCATCAATAATCTTGGCAAACGCTTTCAGGCGCAACCAAATGAAACCAATCGGACAGCCGATAACAAATTTCACCAGTTGACCCATAAATATAAATCAATAGCATTTCTACCCAGACATACTATCTTTGTACATTAATCTCCTCATAATAACAATGAATACATAGGGAATTTGTCCTATTTAGGTAAACACAACCACGGACAGCTGACTGCTGCACAAACAACTTTCGAAATTGATTCATTTACTTAAGAACGATTTC